TGAACTTAGTCCCTATCAAGTATTCTTGAAATCTCTTGATAGCAAACATAATGGCCAGAGCTTCACGCTCAATATTGGTACAGTTTGTTTCGGATTTTGCTAAAGTTCTTGATGCAAAAGCTATCGGTTTTTCCTTGCCATCTTTTTCAGTGTGAAACAAAACAGCTCCTAAACTTCTTTTAGATGCATCAGTCGCAATTCCGATAGGTAGTTCAGGATTAAAGTACGTCAAAGCTGGAGAAAGACTAATCAATGTCTTTAGATCATCAAAACTTTTGGAGTGTTCCAAATTCCACTCCCATTTTTCTTTGTTAACAATCTTGTATAAAGGATCAGCTATTTCAGCGAAGTTGTTCAAAAATTTTCTGTAGTACCCGGCCATACCTAGAAACGTTGACAATTCCGCGGCTGATTTTGGTTCCGGCATTTTAACGATCGCCTCGATCTTGTCATGGTTTGGATCCCCTTGGCGTCGATGTCGTGTCCTAAGAACCTTAGACTTTTTTTGAAAAATAAGCTTTTTGCAAAATTAGGCACTAAACCATGAGATAGTATTCTTTCAAAAACCTTCTTTATGTTGTTGAAATGAACTTCGTCACAACTTCCCGTAATTAGTAGATCATCAATATAAAATATAACATCTTTCATATCACTGAAAATTTGATCCATAATTTGTTGAAAAATAACAGATGAAGTCTTTAACCCAAAAGGAAGTCTGGTAAACCGGTAGTACCCCCTGTGTGTAGATATAGTTAATATGTCTCTGCAGGTTTCGTCGATGGGAATTTGTAGGAACGCATCCTTGAAATCTATCTTGGTGAACTTCTTCCCTTCCTTGAGCTTAGCGATAAGATCATTTATTCTTGGAAGTGGGTATCTGAAGTCCTCAAGGGCTGAGTTGACAGTGTCTTTGAAGTCGGCGCAAACCCTAAGGCTTCCATTATCCTTGTAGACAGCGGTTATCGGACTTGCCCATCGGACATCTGTTACCGGCTCAATGACTCCATCTCCTATCAATCTCATAAGTTCTCTAGTAACAGCGTCTATCTTTGAATAAGGTAACCGTCTAGGTGGTATGATTTTCGGTTTGGCGTCGTTACGTAGATATATCTTGACATTCCCTTTATTGATCGGTTTTTTAGTCAGTTTAGATTCGCAATCTTTTATTAATTTCTTTATTTCATCTTCATAGTTGGTATCAATGTTTGCTATAAATTTGTTCAAAATACTAAAGGCATTAATCCACATACGTCACAATAACGCATTTTTATTAGATTTAACGACCACGGCTTGCAAGTGTTTGGTGATACCTTCGTAGGTTATTTTAACTTGAGTGACGCCAATAATTTTGATTAAGTTTCCATCATAAGCTGTGAGTTGTAGAGTGGACTTTTTAAGATCTTTAATAACTATTTGTTTAGCCATATCATGAGGTATAATTGTAAACTTGGATCCCGTATCAACCTGCATAGTAACAGCAGCATCATTTACTTTTAAAGTAGTCATGAACGCATTATCATTAAGTTTAAACTCAGTTAAATTGTTGATATTAAAATCACTACCATTATTATTTTGTGTAGGGTTATTTTTTTTTCAACAATCTCTTCAATGTTCATGTTACAATTTATGTTACTTTGATTCATGTCATTATATTGTAATGGTTTTCTTTGATTAATATTTTGATTATAATTTTTCCACGTATTATTTTCTCCATTATTGTTGTTATTGTAGGATTGATATTGATAACCATATCGATTATTATATTGACTCTGATTTCTTTGATTGTTGTAAGACCAGGAATTGTTTCTCCCATTATATTTATTGTTTTGCCAAGTACCTCTACCATAATTGTTTGAATTGTTATTGTATTGCCAGGCATTGTTTCTATCATAATTGTTTTCATTATTGTTGTTGTGCCACATGGAGTTTCTTCCGTAATAGTTTGAGTTGTTATTCGAAGATTGGTTATTACGAAAATTTCTAGAGTTACCCTCACTGTCTCGAAAAATATTGTTTTGATAGTTTCGGCTAGCACTATTATTAGGCCTAAAATCATTATAATTCCTCTTCTTAAAATCAAAATTTTCCCTAAGAGTGTTACGTCCATTATAATTAAAATTATTTTCTTTAAAATTATTATGTTCATAATCATTAGAATTATTCTCATTATTACTAAAAGTACTTTTGCATGGTATTTTATCCATGTTTAAATTGTAAAATTTTTTATTTTTATCCAATTTTTTATCATTGTCTACATAATTTGTATCGCTAACGTCTGGTTTAATATTGCTGCCATCTAACTCCACTCCTAATTTCATCATCTTATCTAAACCTTCGTGCTTATGTTTATTTAACTTCCTTCTGATATTATCATTTAAAGAACAAGTTATAATTTCTCAATCATTCTTGTATCGTTATCAAAAAATAAAAAGTATGGAAGGACTCCTCGGCACCTTGTACCGCTAAGTTAAAGTTCTTTATATTTACATTAATATCCTCACTTGGAATTAACAGTTTCAATTTACCAAAAACAATATTAAAGTCTTTTAACTGTGCTTTAGAACATATCGACGTAACTTGGTCTACAATCTCAATTGGTAAGCTACATAGTAGTGTCCTAACTTTAGATGAGTCTGACTCAATATGTCCTTCAAAGTATGTTTCTATTAAGTTAAGATAAGTCTCAGATAATTTTCCTGATAACTTGGGAAATTTAGGAACATATTTAGTGTGTGTAAGAGTTAATTTTTCCTCCATGTTATAATTTTATTTGAGTAAAGTAAACTTTCAATATTTAAAATCGTAAAAGCAAAACATTGTAGTTCATTAAAATCAAATTTAAGTTGTCTAAAAATTTTAATTTTAATCAAGAGAATATGGTCCACCAAGTTTTAATAGTTTATCTATAAAAATTCTAATTCAAATTCGTAAAGAGGATTTAATCCACTAAGTTTCAAAATAATTTGTCTGTGAAAAATTTAATACTAATTCGTAACTAAGTTTTAGAAGGAAAATTAAAAAAATTTTATTGATATTCTATAGGTTAAACATCGCGTAAATTTATATTTAATAACGTAATATAGGGAAAATTTTCTTTACCCTATAAATATAGTATGTCAAATATGTAAAGCGTAAAGATATTTAAATTTTAATATTTCGTAATTTCACAAGATATAAAAATGAAATTATTGTCATCAAAAATATAGGGCTTCCCATTTAGAGACATATAAGCATCAATCATCTTTCGTAAGGATTTGAAATAAAAGACAATTTCATTCGTTCTATTATCACGGACATAAGAAAATTCATTACATACTCCCATTTCTTTCAACATTTTATCAATAATAATGCATTGAGGTATATTATAAGCTTTTATAATTTTGTAAATTTGGATAAAATTTTGACTATCGAAAAGAAAAGTCAAAAAATTTTATTTGTCCTTTTATCATCTCCCATATCGAACGACGAATTTGATAAGTAATTCCTTTACCTTTTATTTTTACAAAAGAATTCAAGGTAAGGATATTTTAAATTTTTATTATTTTACTTTGTTTTATTTTTTTTTTTAAAGAGAAAGAAAAACGAAAAAACGTACCACCGTAACCGGGGCACCATAAAATAAACTATTTAAATTAATTCTTTTTTTTAATCAAATTTATTATTTCTTTATATCTAAAAACATAGTATATATATAAAAAAAATTAATTTGAACATATTAAACAATCAACGTTAATATATTTTTAAAATAAATAATATTCAAATAAGACTAATCAACATTTTAATATTTATATATGTAGTTTTTATTATTCCAAGAATCTAGTTGGATTTAATATTTTATGAGGGAAGAAACTTCAATTATTTTAACTTGAAAGTTGAATTTTATCATAAAGAATAAATATTTTATAATTTTAAATATCACCTGTATGGGTTACTATTCTGTTGAATTATTATGTTTGCAACTAAATATAACATATACAAATAGAATGCCATCTATTTTAAATTTAATTATCGATAAAATTATTTATTAACTAGGAAAATTTCAAAAATAATAATGAACATAAATATTTCCAATAAATTAGGGGTATTTTAATATCTTTTAGATAATATTTGTTTGTGCTTTTGTTGTTTTAAATTATGATTCGCATTTAGGAATATTTGTCATATTGGTAGTTCAAAAATAAGATATTCATATTTTGCCTATAATATAAGTCATAATAAAAATAATATAACTATATTATGGTTCTTTCACAAAAAGTTTTCAAATATATTACTTTTTATTTTGAAATATAATAAAATATATGTACTGAAAAATTATAAAAAAAATCATAATAACCCAGCTGAAGACGGAATCTGCAATTCAAAGAAATGTTTTAATTGGATGATATTAATATATAGCTGTACAAGTAAAGGTTAGAAAGATATTAGATAATTAAGAGTTTAAGAGGTATGGGTTAGATAGAGATAAGATATATTTTAGAAGGTTTTAATAAATTCTATTTATTTTATAAAAACTTATATCTGACAGGTCGTGTGAATAATAATTTCCTTAAGCTGGACCATAAAAAGAAATAGTCGTGATTTATAAAATAGAAATTCCAAAACTAATGGAATGGGTCAAACCTAAATTTAAAAATATTAAATGATTTAAGAAAGCATATTTTTAAATGCATACAAGATTAATTGAATCAAATGTCTTATGGATTGTTGGAACTATATGTCTTAAAATAAATTTTTTTATTGAAATTATCGAAGAGCATGACAAATGTGAAGTGTTACCAAATATTTATTATGATTTCACCATTATATAAATATAATTGTAATTATTTTAAGTTTGCGAAATATATTTTATTTATTAGTATTTCATATAATATATTTATATATAATTGAGTAATAAAAGATTGCAAAATGCATCATATGCCAAATATTATATAATAACTATTAGAATAATAAATAAGGGTTTATCATAATTTAATCAAAAACTATAAACTAAAGCTAAGCCTGAAAATTTAGTGTATAGTAAGTGGTGTATTAAAAAAATATATTTGTTTAAATGGTACATTCTGTCTGGTTAGTTAAGGTCAGCGTCAACATGAGCGGAAGGGGTGTTTGCATCCTATTTTTTGAGGGGGTAGGGGGTAAGCTGCTTTAATGGGGGTAGGATAATTTTTTTGGGGGGTTATTTATTAAATTTTGAGATAAAATAGGACAAAATTTATTGCTGTAAAAATTAATACTTTTATTATAGAATTATTATAATACAATTATCGACCAAATCTATATATTGCAAACAATCATACACATTGTTTTCCAGATAAAACTTTCTGCTATCTTTTTAAATGTAATTTAAAAGGTTTAGATATATCAGCAAGCTCATAATGCCATAAAAATTAATTCATTGTAAATAATGGAGGTTTTGATTGAATTTATTATCTATAAAATAAATTCTTTATAATCACAAAATATCGATAGTTGGTAGTAGAGGATAGAATAATTTAAGTTATCTTTATAAATTCTCTGAAGAGAGTATCAATATAATTATAAAAGTCAAAATAAAAATATAGAGACGCGGGGATTTTTTAGAGGGGTAGGTAAAGGTTTTTGAAGGGGGTTTGCATCCAATGAAAATCCTGTCATGTAGACGCTGGTTAAGGTTAATATAAAGATATCAGTTCATAAGAAATACAAATACTTAATTTTATTAGACATCAATCCCATGTAAATTGGGAAAATTTAGATTAATTTCAGAACTCACCATTTGGTCAGTTACAAAATTAAGCCATCTCGCTAAATTGTCATAATTAGTTTATTTATAAAATTGAATATTAAAAACAAATTTATATTTCATTCACATTTTATAAAATATCTATTATTTTTTGCTTGGAAGATTTTTCAGAATCTTACAATCGTCTGCCTAATAGTTTTTCTAGAAATGAATGGATGTTGAACGTGACATTACAAAAGATATGTTGTTTCCCATATCAGAATTCCAGGAACTTAAACGAGTTACAAAAGTTTTTTTTAGCGTATAATAATTTTCAACTTACGAATAATATAAACGCTTAAATTGTAAATTTTTTTAAAAAAATTTTTACATTTCCTTTTATTTATAATAAATATTGCATACAATTCCATATATTCCCATTTGTGCGAATATGAAATTTACAATTATTGGAAAAAAATAATATAATATTTAGTAAATCATAATTAAATAAAGTCATTAATTCTCACTATCATTTATTGATTAAGATTCAAGTCTTTTAGCGTTAACATTATAATTAGGAGCAAAAATAGGTCCAATATGAAATATTTTAAAATAAATTCATAAGGATTCAGTAAGTGGAAGATAATTCGCAGGAAAAAAAAACCGCTCAATTTTTTTTTTTTGCTGAGGTGAGAAGGGTTATTTATTTTATATATTTTTTCGAGGAATTATCTTCGCCGACAGAGATTCATACTACAATATTTCAGCCTTAGATATTCTCATTTTTTTAACACCCAAATATATAACTCACTGAACTCTAATTAATTTGCATATTTTAAAAGCTTATTTTCCAGAAGCTTAATATAATATTGGGTAGATCACTGCAGCCATAATATTGTGATCCTTGTTAAAGCGAAGAAATTCCATATTAAAGAAATGCAATTTTTTTTTTAATTAGGTTTCTAATAAGGCAAAATACTTACCGAGCAGAGAAAAGGATAAAGGGTTTTGTATGATTACGATAATCTTCCCAATTGAAATTTTTAAACGGTTTAGTTCCACTAGGTTTATTTTTTTAAACTCGTTCTTTATCAGTGATGAATACGATTCATTCAACAAATGCATTTAAAAGTTACAGTGATAGGAATCGGCCGTAACGCCATTTATGTGGTTTCGCGCCTCGATTAAATGATATTAATGCGCATTAATATAATGATAAATAAAGACAATTAATCGAAGGACGAACCACAAAATGGCGCTACAGCTGACTCCTATGTATGGAGACACTTTCATTAATGAAACGCTATTTTAGCTAAAATAATAATATGTAAGCAGAGATTTGGCAAATAGATGTCCAAGCATTTCTGGCAGCTATGTGCAAAATCTTTAGGCAAACATAATGTTATTTCGGTGTTGATCGGGCTTTTTAAAAACACTAGTATATACAACTAATTTTTTAAAATTAATCATCATAATTATATTAAATTATATTTTAATTTTACCAGGATTTGGTTTAATTTCTCATATTTTAAAGGACAATGCCAACAAAAAAATTCACCTTTGGCCATTTTAGCATAATCTATGCTATAAACAAAGGTTTTTGGATGCTCCTAGGCCAAATATGGTTAAATTTTAGCAAAAATCACTCGTCTTTTAAGCAGAAAATTAAGAAAGAGAGGGCGCTTAATTTATTATCTTTTTTTAAAAGTTTTAGAGCTAATCAAAATCAATTATTTTTTTTGTCATTTGTTTATTAAAATATATATGTTATGCTACAAAAAACTAGAATTTATAATGTATATACAATTATTCACAAAGGATAATTCATGAGGACATCTTGTTTAGCGAGTTCCAACAACATAGGATCGTCGAAAAATTTGTTGATGCTTACATCCTCACTTAGGCCCTGGATATAAAATTAAAATGGATCAAAAAAGATGATAAATATTAATTTAAACTTTTCTCCTTCTAGTTTTGATCATAAATTCTCTAGCCAAATGAGTCGCCGGTTGAGGTTCCAAAGGCCGAATCACGATCGATTTGTCTAAAGGATCCCCCGGAACTATCTGCATTTTTTTTGCGATACAAAAATAAAATGTAATCGATATTTTTTATACACGTCAATCAGTTTAAAGATGCCAAGAACACGGATCAAGAGTATTTTTGTGTTCGCGTTCTAACGGGTTATGAAGTGTTCCTACTGATTTAAAAAAAATTAGAATCAAAGACTGTGCTTATGCCGGTATCAAATACCGGATATGGGGTCGATATTTACAGTTTTCAAAAAATCGGATTGGACCGTTATTTACAAAAATCTATAAACCGGAAACCCATATTTTAGGCTGCCGTTCAGTGGGGTATGATACTTCCGACGAGATTTAGAACCAATAAATCTAAGAATTATTGATTTTAATAAAAGAAAATTTGATCTCATACGCAGATTTTATTAAAAATCGATCAGCTGTTAAATAGCGCCGAATCATCCCACCGTGAATGACAGTCTTAAAGTTCATTATCCAGAACCGAAAACCGTTTAAAAAATTTCCAGGAAACAGGATTTAACCAAGCCGAAGTAATACTGTTTTAAAGATGTGCGCGATTCGTTTTAAAAGGGGTTTGTTTATTATTTAAATAATTTGATTAGCATTTTTTATTTATTTTGTAAACGAATTTTAGGTCCAAAAAAATGTTTTCCAGCGAGAAATACCGGGAAAAAAAACAGAGACAAACATGTTATAAAACGGAATGAATTATAACTAACTTTCGAATATACCACGTGTTCCAAAAGTAGAATCGCAAGTTAAATATATTAATATTTTTTCTTCGAGTAGTGACGTGACAGCAAAGGAAGAATCATTGTGGATTAGAAAAAAAATATATATGGTGCTTAAGTATAAAACAGGCGCAAAAAAGGAGGGAGGGAAAAAAATAAGGGATTTTCGGAAAGGAAGTTGAGTGATTAAGTTTGGTGAATGAATAGCAATAAATCAGTTATCTGACGATTAATCTAATAATATGAAGAAAAAAAAACCTGTGATTAATGGAACGAATCGAGTTTTAATTTACCAGGAAAAGGGCATCAAGGAATGATTAATATTAAAAATTCAAGATTTCTTGGGTTCTAAGATTCAAATTCCCAAAATCTAGTTTTTGAAGATCGAAGAATTATATAATACAACAGTCAAGAAATATATTACCTGCCAATGATGGAAGATAGAAAGACAAAAGGCCTGTCCTTGGGTGTGAATTCTGAGATCGGTTTCGAACCCGAAGGAATCGATGGCGGGAATAAAGGCCTTGATGGTATAAAGTGGAGAACCAGGTATCGGAGCGTCTTGCGTTACGTGACCCCTTATTAAAAAAATAATAATTTCCTTTAAAAAATATTTTGAAATAATTGTACAAAAAAATATTAGAGAATGGCGGAGGGTTACCTTCTCCTGGCCAGTACGGTATAAATGGCGGAAACGCAATCGGCCGGCGCCTGAACGTGGACGGCCAAATAAGGTTCGGTGAGACGCGGCGCCGCCATTAGGAAGGCGGAATAGGCGGCTCGTCTGGCAGTGGGTATAATTTGGCCTCCGCTGCGATTAACGGGCTCCGCGGCGACGGAAGCGTCGAGCAGTTTGAATTTTACGTTACGCATGGCTAATTTAAAAAAAAAAATTTTAAATAAAGATGGCATGGCTTGATGTATCGGGTAGGATCTCCAATAAATATTAACAATGCAAATTAATATCTTTATTGTTGATTTGGAAGAATATACTACAGAAGAATTGATTTGTCGAAAAATGTATTTTGAAAAAAATGTGGACATAGAACATCATAACACTCGGCCGACGATATATTTAAAGTTTTTATAATAGTTGATCGCTTTTTTAACAATTAAAAAGAGGAAAATAATAAATAGAAAATTCTTTTCTTTCTATTCGATCCCCTTCGCAAATAGGGATTCATTTACATATAGTATCTATTTTATCTAATATATATATATATATATATACACACACACTATATAATATTACGTTCGTCACACAAGGGGCCCTCCCTACTGCCCCACTGAAAGCCTTGAACCACGCTATCCTTAATTTTTGCCAACAAGCCCTTGTCCACTTCGGAAGGAAGAGTGTCGTCCACCAATATGTTAGGTCCACAAGCGGGGTCAGGTCCGAAGGCCCATATGGAGCGAGCGGAAAGCAGATCCCAATCGTATTTAGATTGGAAAAATTCCCCGAGTCGTTTCCTGGTTGGAATCAAACGATTTAAAAAAAATATATGTATTAATAAAATATTAGGATGATCACGTGGTACATATACCAGCGAATGGTATCCAATATCAGTTCAGATTTTAAAAAAGAGCTCATGGTCGAGACTAGGTTTTTGTATATAACGGTTAAAACCTTTTATCAGAATAATGGTAAGGAGAAGCAAGTTTTTAAAAAATTTTTAACATCAATATTTTCCTAAAAAAAAATAAAACTTGGGCAATCAATCAGATTGACTTCTGTCAAATTATCTTCTAAATAGAAAAAATAAAATTAATCGAGAATTACCTACTTACATAGGCTAACTTGGTTAGCTGTAACCGCTAAATAGCGTAAAATGTCTAAAAAAAATAATTACTGTACCAATCAAATGATTACTAATTAACTATAAATGTGTTAAAAGGATATCTAATTTTTCTACACCCCACATCCTCCATTTTGGTTTGAAATAATGCGATAATAAAAACCAGACGATATTTATTAAATTTAAATTAGAAAATGATTGCGGTTGTAAGTTCGTTTATAATATATTTGATAAATGTCTCTCTGCAAAAATAAGGAGTATAAAATGAATGCGTGATTATGTAAACCTGTCCCAGGTGATTTGTACCACTTCATTTTCGATATCCTCGGCTAGACCCTTTTCTAAAGGTTCGGCTATCATCGTTATCTTATTCCTTACATGTAAAAATAATAATATATATTCTTGGAAATCTTAAACCAACCCAAGATTTTGCGATATGATAAATTTAAAAAGGTTTAATTTAAAAAGGTTTTTTTTTTAATACGATAAATAATCAAACGCGTATAAAACTTTTTGTTAGGGGTCTCAGCGAAGCATTTGAGGGAAGACGTTTCGACTACAGTCTCGCAAAACGTTACAACTGGATCTGCCACCTTGATATCTTTATTTTTTATAAAATAATCGAATATGAAGATTATTTTGATATTTCTACCAGCTGTGTACTTTATTTTATGAAACATATCGATTTTTTAAAATAATTCTCCCCTCTACCAAAAAAAATGATTTTTACCAGAGTTGTTAAAAGATACTTTTTAAATGGATCTAGATACAGATACATAGTCTCAAAAGTTATCTAGATACAGATACGAGCGATACAGCGTCTAAAAAGTTATCAAGATACAGATACAATTTTTAAATGTATCTGTATACAGATATATTTTTTTATGCTCTTATAGGTTTGCATAAACCTAAATTAATATTATATTGTGAAAATTCATGAAATGAGCTAAAAATTTATTGACGCGATATAACATTTATCAGAATATAACCAAAATTATAATTTTAATATAATATATGAAAATATATGATTAAATAATTATTAGATTTCAGTAATAAAATATTTTCAAAATTTTGATCATTTAGGCATCCTCGTTTATCTGTGAAGATATTTTTAGCAACACTAAATAATCTTTCCACAGGGGCGCTTGAAGGAATTGTAGTGTTATATTTAATAAATAACAATTTTATATCAGTTCTTTAAAAATGCTAAAATCTCTACATTTATTTTTGAAAAAGTTATTTAAAATTTGTTGATTATCAAAATTTAAATCATTATTAGAAATTATATCTGCTGTAGGGTACTGAAAAAAATCTGAAATTAAATTATTTGTTTTTTTTGGCAGGTTATTTGCTTGCAGTCAGTTGATGACTTTGATAATTCACCAGCTAATCTTTGTATCAATTGTTTTCTTTTATAATGGCTGCATGCCATCTATAATAAAAGCAATAATTAAATCATCTAAAGTGCCTTGAGTTAAAGTCAAAGGTCTTTTAGCAAAAATATTATTGTAGGATGAGCCTTGCCAATATTTTCTTTAGTATTTTATTTTCCTTCCCCTTTTTTATTTTTGTTAACAAGGTTGGATATTTTCTCTTAAAATTTTAATTAGAATTTTAAATATATAATATCTATACCCTTATGTGCTTCATGATATTGCACGTTGAAGTCATACTGACGGATATTTTTGTATTTTTAGGTAGACACGGCAAACCTTTTACCATCAGAGAATTAATTGTTTTCTTTGTTTTGAGATATTATTTTAAAATATGCTCAATTTGGCCATGGTAAAGCAATAGAACTTGTTGCTTCCTCTTCTTCATCGATATAGATCTAAATAAATATATAAACTTAAAAATTTAGTTATAAAATAAAATTTACCATTTCCATATTGTAATATTAAAATTTGTATAGTTTATTGATAAACTCGGACATAATATTTAAATTAATGAATATTTATATATATTTTTTATATATAGTTTTAATATTTTATGTATATATAATTCTTTATTATAGTATTAATAAATATTAATATATAATATATATATTTATTTATTTCATAAGCTCATATGAAATAAAATAAATTTTACAGTCAAATATTTTTATTTACAATAAAAAAAGGGGTATATAAAATGTATCTTAAAAAGTATCTAAAAACAGATACAGATACCTCTAAAAAAATATCTAGATACAGATACAGATACCTTTCTAAAAAATCTATCTTGATACAGATACAGATACTACATTTTTATATCTAGATACAGTATCTAGATACTTGTATCTAGATACTTTAACAACTCTGATTTTTACTAATAGGTAATGTATGGTTGGAAGCGTTACCGAGTTATCAGATGATAGGAACTAGACCTGCCATAGGTCCCGCTATCCTAAAAAAAACATATTGGTAACCCCCCGCAGCTCAACCTCACTAAAAACTTTTTCGGCTTTTTTTAAAGAAATCAATATAGGTCTATGTATCCTAAGCCAATTTACAGGATGCCACAATTACTAGCCCCTTTTGGATAATCTTCTTAAATAATGATTTTTTACAGTCTTCTACTCACGTACGTACCAAACCATAATATCGAAAGAGGTAATTAGATAATTTTACTCTAAATTATTTCTCTGTATATTATATTAATCGTGCAATGGCAAATAGAAAAATAAAATGTATAATTTTTCATCTTTGACATAAAGAATAAATATAAAATATATTTTAAAATTAAATGATTTCAACAAGTCATTTATCGACACTTTATCTTTATAATAAAATGTAAGTTATAAAATTATCGTAAATTGTAATAAATATTTGTTACGGGCATTAGAATATAGCTTTCTTAAATTTTTCCCATTAAATTCATTTTTTAAAAAAATCTTCAAATTTATGGATAAAGACTAACACTAAATCATATATATACATATATAAATTCTAACATAAAAAACAGATATTAAAGATAAAAAACAATGAATAAGTTAAAATTTTTATTTAATAATGTAAATCCGTGTTTTATTTTAAATATAATTCTTGCTTATATGAAGGAAGATTAATTTAAACGTCAATTTGTTTCATAAAATCATCACCTTACTATAATTTTTCCTGTACTATTCTTTAATATCAGCAATAAAAATGTAATTTAGAATAATCCTTAATTTACATTATTACATTGTGATCTGCTATTAAAAAAAATTACATGAAATATGATTTCTTTAAAAATGTGTTTCCTGAATTCATTTATTCTCATCTTTTTGTGAAAAAAAAATTAACTCACTATGGCTAAAACATTGTTCAAATTTATGGCGCAAGGAACTAAGATTGAAAAATAAATTTTCCAAAAAATTATTTTTAAATTTTGCCTGAAAATTGGGATTAAAAGAAAAAATCTTTTATAAAAGTGAATATTTTGGGATTTTCATGCATAAAAATACTCTATGGATTTATAATCACAATTTTTTTTTTCAAACTATGATAAGGAAAATGAGATTTATTTTCCTTTTTGCTCCCAAATAAATAGGAAATTAGAGGCAAAGTTTCTCAAAAAATAGCAGATAACTATAAAATTAGAAATTTAAGGGAACGATGATAACAGAATAAATGAATATAACACTTATTAATTATTATACAATTTCTCTAACATATAATGTTACCACCTTAGAAGGGATTTCGTTAAATAATATATGTATAATAATAATAACTACAAGTGGTAATGAGAAGAAATAGACTAAGTTGGTTTTGGAATGTTGAGCGCAAAAAGATGCATCTTGATGGAAGTAGGAGGATGAAGACCTAGAGGAAGGCCCAAACTGATATGGATAAATGTGATAGCGGCAGATATGGGAAAAAATGAATCTTATAAGTATGCTTAGGATCTTAAAATGAAAAACAAAAATCAGAGGGAAAACTGGCCAACCTGGGTAAACCTGGATATCGCTAATAAACGGAGAAAAAAAATAGGATGGTAATGATGAGCATTAGAATGCTCTCTTAGCAAAATTCTAGGGATAAAAGATGATCCCCACCTTTACAATATAAAAAGCTATCAAGTCCAAAAAAAAAGAAAGACAAACCTATTTCGGAGTACATTTTCCGGAGGTCGTGCATAACGCAATCGAGGTACAGTTCGCCCGTGCCTAACACTATGTGTTCCCCCGATTCTTCTACCTAGGTAATAAAAATTAAAAAAAATATACGTCAATCAAAATGATCCACGATGTCTTTCATAACTTTATGGACTTCTCACATATGATAAAAAAAATGAGGAGGGGGGGTGGATAAGTGAATTTTATAGTCATATCCAGTGTCATTTCGAGACTTTTAGTGGCACAGGGAAAATAAAATACAATTTACCTAAGATTATTTGATGACTTTTTTCGCAACGAGAATTAAAAGTTATGTATACTTTTATAAAAAATTTAATCGTAAATGAGTGGGCGCACATTATAAAAATGAGTAGCCATTCTATTTATCTTCCTTCGCCATTTTTTTATTTGCAAAAGAAGATATTGTGTCAGAATAATTTTAATAGGTAAGGCGATATCATTTTCTATTGAAATTACAGAGGTTAACAAGTCGGTCCTGGTGCCATACAGGATCGTAGCAAGAATCGTTTCGCATTGCGATGGCCACTAAGAGATGCGGCCATCTAGAATTGTGAGTACAATTTCTTTTTACACGCATTTTATCATCCATTTTTTTTTTTTAAATATATAAATCAACTAAACGGGATAAGAATATAACGCAAAAATTAACAACTTGAATGTGTATCGTATGGTAAAAAAACATTATTTAAATTTTAATGATGTAATATATTTACTTTTGTGGTCAAAAGCGGGTAACTTTTATTGGCCTTCCTAAGCCCGTCCAACATCTTCGGCAATTCGGAAGGGTTAACGGGCTCGACCGCTATTTTTATGACCGAGGCCGTATTGAATTTCAGTGGTCGGAAGATGTAGAGCTAATTTATTTTAATATAAAAAATCAATATTACGTTTTAAAAGATGAATTTAACGTTTTTTTTTGTATATAACTGTAATTCAATATGAATATTTTATAAATATATCTATTTTTTTTTTAGATTATATTATTTCGATATCGAGTCGTAGTGTTGCTAAATCACCTAACTTAGTCAAGCTTTTAGCCTATGAATTAAGCCTCTAAGTTCGAGTCTCAAGATTGATTCGAATATTTTTGGATTAAAAAAAATGGCCACGCTGTTTCACAGCTGACTAAAGTTTGGGAGTTTAACGACACTTAATCTACCGTATTCTTTTACAATTGCAGCGAAATTTGTTTGGCTTTGAATTCTTATTGTAGGACCATGAATTTTCAAGTAATAACTTGCATTTATATAAATATATATAAATCTAATTGACGGGCCAAAATCTAACTAAAGGCATTTTAAAAAAAAATGAAAGAATGTATGAACGTCTTCATCGAGTCCAATATCAGCTATGGTCGCCGTTTTAACGATGGGCTGGTCGATGCCTTCTATGAGTACCCAATTACCGGCAGGAGCTCTGCTTATTTCTATCTTGTATCTAAATTTAGTTAAAATTTAATATGTCCATAATTAATTATGGGATGAATTTAAGGAAAGAGACGTTTTATGCCCTATTATAGTTGTACAAATGATCGTTTTTGAAAATCGAGCAGTTTAACAACACTATATTTATATAAAATTCTCAGAAACATGATTTTAAAAAAAAAGAAGAAAATTACACTTCATTGCAAAGGTGGGACTTTACAGACCCCAGTCATTTTTAAACATTGTGTATAAAATTAATTTTGATTTTTTTTCACTACTTCGTGAGTTTGGGTAAAGTCTTACATCCTATCATATTTAACACATTTATTTTGTGCTTCAATTATTCATTTTAAAAATTAGTCTCACTCTTCACCTTGTAACAATTTCATTAAAATGATTTTATATATTCAAATAAGACATGATATATACAATATTTACAAATATTCAAATAAAAATTTTATATAAATATAACGTTTGTTTGATAAATTTTATTAAGATTTGATTAATAAAATATCGTTCAAAGTAGATTTATCTAATTTGGTTCGTAAATAGTTACTAGCAATCCTAGAGCACTTAAGGATCTTTCAACAGACACTTGCAGCAAGGAGCAGCTAGAACTTCTCATAAGAGCCAATCTAAGATGGGTTATCTTTTGGCTAATTAAATATTTAAATTTGTCTCCATGTAGACATCAGATGTCCTAAAATAAATAGATTTATTTAATTTAAAGTCAAATATTGTAAATTTACCCTAGCCAGCAATTTATCATATTTGGGTGGATAGATTCCATTCTGGTAATTAAATCTCGGATCCATGTAGATCCCATTTCTAAATTACATTTATTACCAAACAGATATTTCTGCCGACAACAAAACCCATAAGCAAATAATTAGAGAATTCATTGTTGATTTCCTCTAAATCGTTGAACTTAAGTTTATAAAATATTAGTCCTCTAGTCGATTTACATTTGAGAGCATGGATTTCAAGACGAAAATTAATGGTTTAATAGATAACCAAAAATTGCCATCCGATCAAAATAATTTACAGTATTGGCAATCTAAAAAATTTCAAGATCCTGAATTGTACATCCTCTCGTGAGTAGTTCTGGCGGCTCCTTGCTCGCAAGTATCTGTTGAAAGATCCTTCAGTGCTCTGGGATTGATCGTAACACCTTTACGAACAAGATTAGATAAATCCACTTTAATTTTTTTTTATTAAACAACGTTATTTTTGATTTTTATATCATGTCTTATTTGAATAAATAAAATCATTTTAATAAAATTGTTACGAGGTGAGATACTAATTTTAAAATGACAATTAATTGAAGCACATAATTTTATACACATTGTTTTAAGTACTGAAATTTTTAAAAAGACTGGCGTCTGCAAATAGCCCCACCTTTGCAATGAGGGTAATTTTTTTTTTATATTTTCCTATATTATTTTAAAAATATATGACCGCAAATAATCCTACATCTTCCTGAGTTTAACTCACCTATAAGTCCCCCCCCCCTTCCCCCCACAATATTATAATTAACTTACAACTTAGATTAGGCTGTCACTTGATCGCGTGATACTAAGTAAGTAACCACATGTGCGCGATTTGCGCAATTATCACCGAGTCATTTATGAAAGTGAGTAAATAATAGGTATAATTTATAACGACTTAGTAAACGCGATGAAGGGAGTCATAGGGTTCATGATGAAATTTAAAAATTGTTGCTCAACCACACAGGGAACCCTTTAAACCTCCATTATCGCCAAAAGGTTGCCACTCGCCCGCCACAATGAGGACCGTCTCCTCGATGGGGTGTAAAAACCACCTGAAGGGAGTTGATCAGGAAAGGTATCCGATTGTAAAAAAACCTTGCTACAAAATTTCCTAATGATTAAATCAGAGGGAAAAGTGGCCGACCTGGGTAAACCCGAAAATCGCCCTTAAACGGATAGAATGAGACCCAAGGCTTTTTAGGTAAAACGACTTGAAATTTTTTTTAAAATTCCTCCAAAAACCTAGCTTCGTATATCCAAACTCGTCCTACTTTACAGACCCTGGAATCCTCCTCATCCTCTGGCGTGTAATTTTCTCCGAGAATTTTGACCCTGACCGAACCCTCGAGAGAGGAGGTGAGAGTGCCACTGAAAATTCGACCGAACACGTGAAAGGTGCTGGCGTCGGAGGTGGGGTAAAGTTTGACGGTGTGTATCATGAGTGGGCCCTGGGTAAAAAAAACAATGTATTATAAGATATCTCGATTTTTCCTGTTAAAATACCCCTTCCAAGTTCTATTCGGGTTAAGTAGTGTTGTTAACGACCATTTTGAGCCGATTTTTAAAAACGACTAGCTCAATGGGTTACCAGAAAAAATATGCCTAAGCCTCGAGATTTGGCTACTGGATGCCCAAACCTCTGTTCCTTCTACATACAAAATCTTCAGGCTTGCGCAATAGTATTATGGATGAATAGATTACCGTTTTAAAATCGGCTCAAATTAGCCGTTTAACAACACTAGGGTTAAGCCCATAGTTTAAACGGGGTTAAGTTAGGGAGCGATAGCTACTAGGCCCGATGTAATAAATATGAAAGAAAAAACCTTATATTATCTATTTAAATTGGAAGGTTACCTCAGGATCGCATGCTACTAAAGCATCGCCTATGTCCGAGTCTATGGGTCCAGTGTAAATATGCTCGATTTTGCGCCTCGCGTTTTCGAGAGGGGAAGGTATATGGTTCACGCACATATCCACAAAACCTGCGATGAATATGTGATAATTTTCAGTTTTTTTAAAAAAAAACTTCATAGTAAATCTGTGTTAAAGTTAAGTTAGTTTGTCAATTAGCCAGCTGATTTTAGTTCTCGCACTGTTAAATCTAAGGATATTATGTCTATGCTTGGTGCAGAACCTTGAAAAATTGCAACCTTTCACTTAATAACCTTTTGTGCCGATAACGCAAGTTTGAATTTAGGGGAAAAAAAGGAAAAATGTAATGACTAAATCATTAGTTTCGAATGAAAATATTATCCCCCATTGGCTGCCTGTCCAATATGATTCAGGGTGCGGGAAGAAAGGGACATGCTTCATAATATCAATATAGACATGGAAATAATTGCAATGAAATGTTATGCCAATTCAGGGGATCCACACAAAGAGGTTATCCGTTTTTAAATTTTATTTCATGGATTCTCGAGATATTGAATGGTCTGAACTTCTAGGAGTTGCGACAAGATGACTATCATTAATACCGTGTCACTTAATTATCAATATAAGGGACAATCTTAAACAAACGTGGTTAAAAAATCGCAAACCAAAAATTCAATCGCAAGTGGAGATGTTTTCATTAATTAATGAATTAATTAAGTTACAACCTTTACAAGCTTAAATTATCTATAACCTTTATGGTTCGGTTGTAAAACAAAATCTTATAAAATGTGGATGATGATGATGATCATCATAATAAAATCGTGTCATTTCGAAATGAAGCTAATAAAATTCAAAAAAAAAAAAATCATTTCGTATTTAAAAAAATGAATTTACAAATAATAAATGGGAAGAAAAATCTAAGTATCATGAAGCTTTAATAATAAATTCAATTCAAGGAAGTTGAATTAATAAATAATCAATTTTAGATATAAAAGATATCGAATTAGATAACTTATTTCAGGAATTCATTGCTTCTAAATACATTTTACAAAACAAAATAACGATATATCGCCTTTGGCCTATGAAAACAAAGCCCCTTATTTTCCAAAGAACATCGCGCCAAATTTTGAAAGATAAATAAATATGCAATATTATATTCACGTTACCAATCTGATAAAATGAGTTAACGATAAATGAAATTGGGGAAATTTATTTTGTTTATAGAAAATTCTTTGTATTTCTCGTATAAGTAAAAACAAAATTGAAATGAATCTCCCCAAAAAAATGTTTTTTTCTTTCTTTCTTGCTAAGTTATATTCTAGTTGAATGGAACCGAGATTCTTAAAAATTCATGCTTGTGTTTTAAAAGCACAGTGAAAAAAGGCTGGCAGCAGAATTTCTGGCAACATTATCCTGTGCGTGTATAGTAAATTATTTTTTAAAATTTAAAAAATAGCGGAATGAATTTGATATCAAACTTTAAAAAAATATTTCCCAGCTCTTACAATTCAAAATTGTAATAAAATCTAAAATCTCGTAGTTAACCGGTGAAAGGTCCGTAGAATTTCTGGCAAACCAGTCTTAGCAATGGCACGATGTTCATCTTGCATTCCGTTTTGGTGAGCTTGATGTTTAGATCCGCTAGGAGGGTAGGTAGGGCTGTATCAACGTCTCCTACAACCTTTTAAGAGCATACATACATTCAATTAGCTCAAAAAATTAGGATTAATGTGTTCAAATATCCAGGGTTCTGGCCCCATAGTTGAGAAATTTTAAACTCTATTTAATGGAAACTTTGATAACGGGAACTTAATCGAAAACTGATTATCTAAAAGAAGTCTAACACGCCCCGGGGTCCATATTACTTATGGTTTGATGGAATCCGTATACATCGGTATCTGTTCGGTCAGTTTGTGGTCTCAAAATCGGGTCAAGAAACCTGCAAATATCTAAGTATCACTAATACAAATTGTCAGGAATTCGTTTTCGACTCCTACAAATAGAGGCTCAAAAAAAGGGAACACTTAAAAAAATGAAATATTACAATCAATAATGAATTACGAACAATTTTTAGGCCAATAAGATATATATATATAACATACTTGAGCGAATATCTTGTACATAGGCTCCAAAACGAGCTCTACAAAGCTTCTAGGAGCGTTGGGAACAGGGGGCTTCCTGGAAAATTTCCTCCTTTTTTTCAAAACAAATATATTTAAAAAAAAATTAAAATTTTAAAGGCAAATTATATTTTTATTCCAAAAAGTAACTTTCTTTCTCTTTTTTTTGTTTCTTTCTTTTATTAAGGATCTTGATAAAAAGAAATACCGGTAAAATATCTCAGAATATTCTGTTAAGAGTCTCAAATTAGGCATAAAACCAGGGTTGTGCATTTGACCGGTCAAATTCAAATAAATGTTTTTTTAAGGAAAATTTTTATATTATAATAGTAAACAAAAATGAATCTATATAAATATTAAATTATATTTTTTTAAAAAGTTCTATAATTAATGTTTCGTTCTCCGTGGGCTGAGCTGGTTCTGATTTTATATTCAATATTTTTAATCAATTCCTAGGTCATGATATACCCCTACCTTTCTGGTTGTTCGAGATCTTCTCACATGAATATTCCCCTAAACTGGCCAATTTCTTACTGAAAAAGAAGTGTAACTAGGCAAATGTCAGTAAGTTAGACACTTCTCGTAAATGTTCACGCTGGGCAAAGCCCTATCCAACAACTTGAGCCCGAAATCAGATCGCTTTTCTTTCATATATATGTTGGCTAATTAAATGTACCGCCGTTTTTACTTCTGAAAATTTGTGATATCAACTTAAAAAAATATTTTGATTATCATCACCCTTGTAAAATGACTAATTCTTGTATCAGGTCAGGTGCTTCACCAAACTCATTAATATAGTAAGATGCTCCCCCTTATATTGAGATTTCAATAATAAAATCAGCTATGTGAGCGCATGGATTTTCAAAAGTATCCTGAATTATTATTTTTTTCTTCAAATGGAGAAAATTTTAAAAATCGCGACATGATTGAATCGCGTCGTATCCCAAATTAAGCGTCTCGTTTTTTTTTACGTGGCCGGACTTACAATAGGATAGCTAAATGGTTTAAAGAATAGTTTAAAATTGTTTCTTCATTTAATTATATTATATCATTGGTAATTTCTTTCGGACAGGGCCTTCTCGTGTATTCGTATTTGCTTCTTAACATTTGACGAGATGTCCATCTCGTTTGGATAATTGTACATATTGCTAATATAAATTGGGCAATTAGTAAATTTTTTTTAACATGTTTTAGCAAATTATTGTATAATTTATATATTCAGATCCAAAAAAATGGTAGTGAGAAAAGAAGAAAAAAATTATAGATTTTCCGGCTGCTCGGAGGAATGAACCCATGAAATTAGATTTTATAATCATTAATTTCTATGCGTTGACGCCTTTTTTTTGGGTCTCCTGATTTATTCTTAAGGCTCTGCCTGACTTTTTAATTAGGTTAACAGCATGGCTTCCAAAGGATGTCAAGGTTTGTAGTGACAACTGATACGAATTTATATTTATCAGGAATATCCATATATTTGTTCGTTTTAAAATCTTCTTTGTATTTTAAAATGTTCATATTGATGTTGAAGGGTGATAGGGGGTCAACGCAGAAGAAATCCCACCCTAGAAATCGGCCATTCTCCCAAGGAATTTGTGCAATTACATCGGGCCGTCTCCAATCATTAAAAAGACCTGGGGTTTCTAAAGTGGCAGGAAGGCCAGCGAACTGTAAAGCCCGTTTTATGAGAGCACTGCATCTGTTATGTCGGATTTAACGTCCACTGCTAAAGATATATTGAAGGCAATGACGGCCATTTTGATTTACTAGCTTCTTGCACTTGGTGCACTCATATGAGACTGAGGCTGTCACATTTAAGCGAATGGCTGCTGCAATGCTGAATTATTGGTTTGACAGCTCGAGGTCAAGACTGCCTTTCTTGCCACTTTATAACCCCCAAGTCTCTTTACTGATGGAAGATGACCCGATGTAATCGCACAAATATCTTGGGAGAATGGCTGCTCAAATTTCTTGGGAGAATGGCCGATTTCTAGCATGGGATTTCTCCCCAATATCAATAAGGACATTTTAAAATACATAGAAGATTTTAAAATGAACAAATATCCGGATATTCCTGATAATAAATTCGTATCAGTTGTCACTACAACCTGGAAGCCAGGCTGCTAACCTAATTAAAAATCCTGGCAGAGCCTTAAGAACTAAATCAGGAGACCTAAAAGAAGGCGTCTACTTACGTCAATGCGTAAAAATTCAGATTATAAAATCTAATTTCAAATATTTCATATGTTCATTCCCCAAGCTGCCAGAATAATATAGATCTTTTTCCTCTTCCCTTAATTATTTAGAATTTTTTTTCTTCTTTCTCAAATTAAGTAGTATATGTTACTTTTTCCTCCCCCCCACCCCCCTTCATTTATATTCACGATTTGGATATATATATATAAAAAATTTCTTTCCTTTCTCAATTACAAATTTGTGTATGAATTAAATTGATTTTTTCTTGTAAATTTATAATTAATAATAAATCACGATTTCTTTTCTTTTTCTCTGCTAATTTTTTTTATTTAATTTATATTTTATTTGATATAGTTCTATTTATAATAATTTATTTATTATTTTATACAATCGATTTTCATTATTTTGGTAATTATAATGTATTAAATATAATAATTGTTTTGTAAACAGTAAAAAAAAATTAATTAATATTTTTATATTTCAAAATATAAAATTATAATTAAATAGATGCCTCAGTGATAAAAATATATTTTTAAAATAAATCGTATGCTTTAAATATATATTACCTTAAATTAATCAATATATTTATTCACCAATAATATTTTAGAGTATTTGACTGAATTAGACCGGGCCAAATAATTCTTAGGGTCAATTGACCGATCTGCCAACCCAGCAAAAAACTATATCATCTCAGATACAAAAAAAAACTATAAATTTTATAAAATCATGCTTCAGAAATGAGTAATTTCGCAGACAATTCTATAAAATAATAATTAGGTGTTTTTGTCTCATTGCTTTGATCAGCTGTAATAAGATTTTTTATTTGATATATATATTAAAAAATATGGCATCTTTAAATACGTTTTATTGTTGTAATATATGTCACCCCACAATCTCCTAGCTAGTTCGGTCTCATTGATAGCAGTGGTGGCTAGAAATAGAATAAAGAAATATTTAGAATTAAATTACGTTCCTTTCCTTTTCTTAAAAGATGAGTGGCATTCCTAAATTTTCATCTCTTTTTTAGTTCTATACGGACCCTTTTCACTAATAATGATAAAATTATATGGATATTTACCGAAATATTGGGAATAGGTCCGGGCAAAAGATTTGAGGGTGAAACAAAACCCGAATTTAGCGCTGGCAAAGCAAACGTTTCCGGTTAGCGGGGAGAAATATTCGTTTCCCATTGGTGGGCTGGCTTTAAGAGTGGGCCCTTCCACGACGGTTGTGGTGGAAGCCACTTTTGCCGCTGGTTCTATCCTAAGATTTACATTTGTATATATATATATACACAAGTAATTTTTTTAAAATCATTATGCTAAAAAAATAATTAATCTCGATATTAATTTTCAGGGAGGGAGCTAATTGGTGTTTACCAGGTGATTGACTGAATGCACCTATCCTTGAGGGACCGGAAACCTTACCATTCACTAGTGTTGTTAAACGGCTCGATTTGAGCCGATTTTACTACCATTTATCATTATAAACATAAATATACTTTGCAAAAAAAGAAGTGTATATTAGGGCCAAGGCTGAAAGATTTGGTCTTCAAAAATGGGAAAACTCCTAATACGAAATGAAGGATACCCCTAGAGAAGTGCCCATATATTTTAAAAAAACCTCAAGGCGGTGGCCTTAGTGCCAAACGGGGTGCACGATTCGGCGTGCAAGGCGACGAGGGCGTTCAGCTCGTCGATCACGTGACGAATCTTATAGAAAGCGTCTTGCGGTGGAAGCTTGAGTTCCAGTACGAGCCTATCTATCTTCGCCACACAAAGCGTCAACGCGAGCCCTTCCTGCAATGCGTGCTTGAGCAGGCGTTCCGTGTTTAGCATGCACTTTGATTTTTCGTACATTTAATTCAAATAAAAAAAAAAGAATCACGTGATTCATATAAAAAAAGAGGGAAACGCACATTATAAATATAAACAATAAATCGGAAATGGAATGAAAGAATTTGGTAAACAAGATGAAAAAGGGAAGATAGGTTAGGTTAAGGGGAAAATGAGAATTTTTTTTTAAAAAAACATATAAATGTATACCCCTTCCGAAGCGTCAACAATCAAACATACACCATCGCATATTCGATAAGCGGCCGTCACCTCATCGCTAAAATTTACGTGACCTTTAATGCGTAATATTAAATACTATAAATATATAGGTTTTACTTTTTTGGGGCTAAAATGATATGACATTCAAAGGAACGAACTGTCGTTTGATTTATCATTCGTATACAATTCTAAGTGGACCTTATTTCTATATTTTCCTCTTCCAATTTTATTGTGTGGAGTTTATATATTTTTTAAAATATAAAATCTGATATAATTTAAGCCAGCCTGAAACAGGAAACGGAACCCAAGGAATGGGATTAAAATCAAGAATCTAAAAATTTTCTTAAAATAAATAAAAACTAAAAAAAACCCGATTTAGACGAATAGAAATATAAATAAATCAGCAGTTGTAACCACAATTTCATTGAGTCGAAGACTTCTCAATGGCAAATTTTTTTTGAAAAAATATTCCGATAATTTCGTAAATATATTGGAAGATTAATTGTTCGCTTGTAAATTATACACTCTTTATATTTGTCGAAAAATATTTTTTTTAAATAGCTAAAAAGTAATTCATCAAAAATATGAAACTAAATGTTAATTTTTTTTTTTGGATTTTTGGAATTGACATAAAAAATAATAATCAAATAAAGCCAAAATTCGTGGTAAACTCTTACCAGGTGTGTCATACAAATTCATGAGGTAAGATTTGTCCTTGATGTCCTGGAGCAATAGGGTTATCGGAGTAGCCTTTATACTGACAGCTCGCTTTTGTCATAAATTAGAAATAATTAAGCAAAAATTTTTTTTACATATATTATTATTATTATATTTCTTTCTCTATCTATAGGATTAAAGGAATAAGATCAAGGTGCTAATCCAACAATTCCTGTGGAATTGGATATGTTTTGTAAAACTTATTGTTAAATAAATATAAATTGCTTAAATCAATTAATAAAATAACTCCTTCTTATTAACGTTATTTAAATTAATTTGAAGAAAAAAAGGTGAGCTTTAAATATAATATGTGTAATGAGCTTGTCGCCCTAGTAACGCTCTGGGAGATAAGCAACAAATTGACATGACATTATAAACGCCGCGTTAAAATAGAAGAAAATTTGCCCAAAAACAGCTGTTTGAAACACTACGTTGTTCGAGAATATTTAATCTTTTTTAATTAGTAAGGTAAATAATAATAAATGAATCTGATTAATATTTATGTTGTTACATTTTTTTTAAAATGTAAAATTTGCAATTTACGTTGTTTTATATAAAACGATAAGAAACATTACAATCAGCTGTTACAAATGGCAACCATGAAATAAAAATAGCCTTTTTTTGGAAACATGGCATCAAAGAAGTGAGAGAGGATTATGACATATAATAGATTTTTTTTATAAAGATGGCTGTCAATTATCAAAATTTGATTATACACATCTTATAAAAAATAAATCATGTATCCAGTCCAAAGCTACTTTACAATCTATATAGATGAAACTGTCCAACTTCCTTATCTTTTTCTTTCTATTGTCCAACATCTTAGGATAGTAGAATCAAAAAATAGAATTAAAGCTAACTAAATGGTAAAAGTTTTTGTTCAAAATTTTTCAGCAGGAAATCTTTGAAGATATAAAAATTGAAGATTTTTTTGTTTTATGAAGATCACAAATTTTTTTCAATCACGAAAAGATTCTTCCTTATGCCTCAAAGAATCACAAAAGATTTACAATTATAAAGATAACATTTGATCGAAAATACTGTTCAAGCCATTTTTATAAAAATCTTCATTTTTTAAAAAATCTTCCACATGGATCTATAAATTATAAGAAGAATTTTATTTAAATAATAAAAATAGGGTTAAATAATAAAAATAGGGTTAATTAATATAAATTAGTACTTCCTGTTCGGTGAATAACGTATCAGTGTATTTGAGCTGTAAATTTAAAAAATATATAAATATTAAATTAATTATTTAAATTTATTTTGTTTAATATTATCATTCAATCTTGGCTATAATCAAAATTTGCATCCTGAACTCAGTGGCTTTAGTTTTCGAGTCTGATTACAATTCCTAATTTTTATATTTCTACTTGTAATAGAAATAGTTCTGATGAAATGGTTCAGTTGCACTTATTTTATTTTTATTTTAATCTTTACAAACAAATATATTTATTGTTTTTTTTGTCTTACTTGAAATTCTTCTTTTTTTTAAAAATACACTCCACTTTTTCTTTTTTAATATCTAAATTTCTCCAAAACAACAAAAAAAATTTACAACCAATTTTCTTCCAAAAACCAACAAGGAAAATTTTTTCAAAAACCCGATAACTAACTTTTTATTATTATTTTTTTCTTTATATTCACTACACAAAATTTAAAAAAATAATAATAAATAACAATTATAATAATAATATGCCATCAAAGTCTAATAATAATCTATTCGCAAAATAATATAATATCGAAATTAAAAGAATAATAATAACAATAATAATATTCCGTCAAAGTCTAATAATAACCTATTCGCGAAATAATATAATATCTAAATTGAAAGAATATTAATAACAATCATATATTAAATTATACTAATCCTATTTTAAAATAACCAACTATAATAACTCCTTCTAATGACCATATTATAACTTAATATCGCCAGTCCTCCATGGTCATTCCATTTCTTTCTCCTACTCCGATCTCTCCCAGCCGCATGAGCTCCGCCCACGCCATGGCTTCATCCGGATCTTGTACGGTTTCCACCATTGCTCCCCTCATCTGCTCCAGCGCCAGTGTTCCTGTTCTCCGTTAACCTCCCGCCCCTCTGCACTCTCCTCTTCTCCGACGTCAGATCTTCGGTCGCGCGTCGTTTGCACACTTGCCACCCATTGCTCCTCCATCCTCGACTTCACCTGCTCCTCCAAACTCCCATACAGTTCTTCTTTTTGACCCGCTGTATTTTCCCCCGCGAATTAAGATCTCCTCATCCGTACTCTTCTCGACGTCCGTGTTCTTCTCGATCTCCTTCCGCTACGCGCACACTGAGCTCGTAGGGCCCTGGCTCTCCGCAATTGTAGCACCGTCTCAGATCCACCTGCATCCGCCGAACATTCCTTATGTCGTTCCCCGATCTCGTTCTTTGCCCCCTCCATGCCTCCTGCTCCCTCCACGGGAATCGCATTCTTTCATTTCTCCATTGTTGTCCTTTCCTCCCCTGAGCAATTCTCTCTGGGCTCTCTATACGGTCGTACCTCTAGGGCACCTACGAGCTCAGTGTGCGCGTAGCGGAAGGAGATCGAGAAGAACACGGACGTCGAGAAGAGTACGGATGAGGAGATCTGAACTCGCGGGGGAAAATACAGCGGGTCAAAGGGAAGAATTGTATGGGAGTTTGTATGAGGAGGTGGAGTCGAGGATGAAGGAGCAACGGGTGGCAAGTGTGCAAACGACGCGCGACCGAAGATCTAACGTCGGAGAAGAGGAGAGTGCAGAGGGGCGGGAGGTTAACGGAGAACAGGAACAACTGGCGCTGGAGCAGATGAGGGGAGCGGTGGTGGAAACCGTACAAGATCCGGATGAAACCATGGCGTGGGAGGAGCTCATGCGGCTGGGAGAGATCTGAGTAGGAGAAAGAAATGGAATGACCATGAAGGACTGGGAGCTGGAGCACCTGTTGGAGTTCATCCTGTCGGAGGATGAGGATGACGGTGACTCTGGTTTCATGTAGAGGGAGTGGGGCGATATTAAGTTATAATGTGGTCATTAGAAGGAGTTATTATAGTTGGTGTTGTTTGTACTTTTACAATTACGCATATATATAATTTTAGATACGAGATGTCAGTTAACTTCTACATTATATGTAGTCATACATATATATATATATATATATATTTATATATAGGAGATGTCAGTTATTTTTAACGTTATTTGTATTCATATATATATTTATAATATTATATATGAAATGTTTATACATATATTGCTCGTGGAGCAATTATTAATTATCATTGTCTTGGATTTGCTTTTGTTTTGTATTCGGTAAAATCATCTGGTAATATTCAGAAAATAAAGTAGTGCAAATCAAATATTCTTTTCCGGAAGGTTTGAAAGTAAGTAAGAAAAGGAGGTGGAGAGGTAAGGTAGTGTTTTATTTTGATAGTTGTTGACCGTGAACCAGGATTCGAACCTGGGTTAATGCGGGGTAAACAGGTAAATAAATAATATTTTATGTTTAATCGTATATAAGCAATGTACTATGGATTTTATGGAAGAAAAATGGTATGTTAATTGTGGAAGTATATGAGTATATGGGCCGAAGTGTTGTGAGGTTTATGTATTTTCATTTTTCAATGAGTATTTAAATAATTTTAATTCATACATTATAAGGGAGCTATAGTTGTTCATTTTAATATTTGTATTAAATTTTTTAATTTATATCTTTATATTGGGAACTGGAGATGTAAATTTTTATGAATTTAGAAGTAGGGGAGATTAAGTGTTAAGTAAATAATAATAAAATTGAAAGTATGTAAGGGTCACTAGGTGGCAGGATTGCATTTAATTAAAATAAGTTACACCAACATAAGACCTGGGGGGGGGGTAACAGATATTGTTATCTCGTGTCAGCTAACTCTTTATTGTGTCAGCTACCATTAGATATGGTCAAATACCTATTACCTGACAATTTGGTGTCAGGTATTTTGGGAATAGGTTTTATTGGTGATTATTTTAAGCCTTAAGACTCTTTGAATGGAGGTAAAGGTCTTCCGTCAGAGGAAAATTCAGGACCTAATGATATGCAGGACAGAAAAGATTACTTAATATTTGAATTTTGGGGATTTTAATTAGCAGGAATAAATTTGGGTCTTGCAATGTAAATAAAGAAAAATAAGATACATATATATATCTATACATAAATAATTACTTTTATATGGGTGAGTTTTGTTTAAAAAAGAAGCAAATGTTGTTACATAAATTGGTAGAGTCAGAGTTTTTGTAACAATATGTTTTGGATGATTATTGGAAATTTAATGTGAGGAAATAATTTGTAAATGGTGTACAAATTATGTGAAAAAGAAAATAGGTTTCAGTTGGATACTGGACATGTTTTTTTTAAATTTTATTTTATAAAATATACTTTCATAGTTTTATAACACATCACATTTTATTATATATATTCAATATATCAATAAGAGATTTTTGTTTGGTCTCACATTTTTTTAAATATATTTTTTCACATTGTAAATATTAAATGTATATGAAGGAAGTTTTATGATTAGGTTATTGAGTTGAATGAAGGTTATGGAATAATGTGGATGGACAAAGGGTAAATGTGAGAAGGGATCCATTTACAGGTTGAATTGTTTTTGAACATTATTGGTGATGATATTAGCATGATTAATAGATTTTTTTTTATATTTTATTTTCACAATAAATATGTAACAATTTATGATACTTATTTTATTTGTTTCAAAATTTAAATTTTAGATTGTAATAAATATTTTCATTATGTTTATGTCAGACAATCATATATTTTAATATCTCCACCAATGTTAATAATTGAGTGAAATATTTTGCACTTTATTTGTAAAATCCAAGAGTTTATTAAGATAAACCATCACATTAATAACATATATATTAATCTTCAATATGTTGATATTGTTGTTTTCCTTGCATTATTCAAAAATATTTTTGTAAGTTGGGTAAGAATTATTCTGAGCCCATTTTGATATGTAGTTTTTTAATTCTTGTATTACCATATTCCTGTGGTATCCTAATTGGGGTTAAAATTTATTAAGTAACAATAACATATTTGTAGATCTGTTATTGTTTGTACAATGAAATTTATTGTATCATACATTTTTTTTTTGAAATTTCAGTGGTACGTTCAAATAAAATATTACCATTCATATATTTTTTTGAAAAGATTCAATGTTTTGATTGTTATTTTGAGAAAGTAATATATATAATATATGTCTCATTTGACCCCTGATGTGTTGGAGGATACATATAGTGGAAGTGTGGCAGCAATAATGATCAAGAGCTATGACTCAGACGAAAATTATTATCAAGAGCTATGACTCGAACGTAGATGGAACGATGTGAGCATGATCAAATAAACGATGAGATGAAGCAAAGGGGCAAAATTACATGAAAATGAATCGAACGTATACAATAAATTAAAAAATAAAATAAATAATACTTTTGGGATAATGTAACACCAGGTTTTTTGAAGGGCGGGCATGTTGTGTTTTGTACTTTTACAATTACGCATATATATAATTTTAGATACGAGATGTCAGTTAACTTCTACATTATAGGTAGTCATACATATATATATATATATATATATTTATATATGTGAGATGTCAGTTACTTTCGACGTTATTTGTATTCATACATATATTTATAATATTATATATGAAATGTTTATACATATATTGCTCGTGGAGCAATTATTAATTATCATTGTCTTGGATTTGCTTTTGTTTTGTATTCGGTAAAATCATCTGGTAATATTCAGAAAATAAAGTAGTGCAAATCAAATATTCTTTTCCGGAAGGTTTGAAAGTAAGTAAGAAAAGGAGGTGGAGAGGTAAGGTAGTGTTTTATTTTGATAGTTGGTTATTTTAAAATAGGATTAGTATAATTTAATATATGATTGTTATTATTATTCTTTCAATTTAGATATTATATTATTTCGCAAATAGGTTTTATTATTAGACTTTGACGGAATATTATTATTATTATTGTTATTAATATTTTTTTAATTTCGATATTATATTATTTTGCGAATAGATTATTATTAGACATTGATGGCATATTATTATTATTATTGTTATTTATTATTATTTTTTTAAATTTTGTGTAGTGAATATAAAGAAAAAAATAAAATAAAAAGTTAGTTATCGGGTTTTTGAAAAATTTTCGTTGTTGGTTTTTGGAAGAAAATTGGTTGTAAATTTTTTTTGTTGTTTTGGAGAAATTTAGTTATTAAAAAAGAAAAAGTGGAGTGTGTTTTAAAAAAAAAGAAGAATTTCAAGTAAGACAAAAAAAAAACAATAAATATATTTGTTTGTAAAGATTAAAATAAAAATAAAATAAGTGCAACCGAACCATTTCATCAGAACTATTTCTATTACAAGTAGAAATATAAAACTAATAAACTACAAAATATTTCTTAATAAAACATTTTTGGTTCATTTCCGGTTCACGGATTTCACCGTGTTTTCCCAGATATCTAATTTTCGATTCCAAACTTTTGTAAATATAAGCGATGTAACTTAATTCTCTACAAATTAAACGTTTCCCTTAAAAAAAAATTCAATCGTGCAAAAAAATTATAAATGAACAATATACATTAGAAGTTGGTGGGTGGCGGAAGTGAACCAACCCATTGAAATCCTATAAATGAGTTTTTTTTGGTCTGATCCATGCCATTAAATATTTTTAACTGGAGCCCTTAGTTCGTATATGAAGGAAAACGAAATTTTGTATAACTAGAAGCTCTAAAAGCATTTCCAAAACTTTGGCCAGGTCTATAAAAAAATATTTTGCAACAAAGAGCGAGACAAGACTCTCAGACCAGGGTGTGCCCGACCTCCTTATATATACTTATATAATAAATTCCACTTTTATATTAAAATTAGAACCAGTTTTTCATGAAGGTTCCTATTAAATTTCAAAATGAGTTCCAGTTTCAAAATTCTGAATTTTGATAAAACCTCTCTTGAAATCTGCAAAGGTAAAAAAAAAACGACAAATTTATAATTTACTTCTTTATCAGCATCGTAATAGAAGTCCGGATGAGTCTGTTCTATCAAACAATCAACAAAGGTGGTCTGTTTTTAGAAGAAGAAAAAAAATATATAACATTACACAAAGTATACTAAATTTGATTTTCTTTCTTTAAGTTAGAGTTATATTCAGAATCTTGGAATCTGAATAAGAAAAGATTCAATATTTTTTTTTAAAAGAGTGATTTTGGTGGTTCCTCAAAATTTTGAATAGTGGATTCTGCTTAGAAAAAATAAAAATAAACACACTTCCAAGGGTGTCTAGGTTTTGATGTCAAGCTTCTGCGTTGAAGCGAACACAAAATAAAAATCTATTCTTAAAAAAAGAAGAAGAAAGAAATAATTGGGGTTCCAAATAATTAATTACTTTTTTTTTTAATTTTTTTTTATCTTAATTCAATAAAAGGCCTTAAATTTATAATAAGTATCTACATTCTAAAAATAAATAAATAAATGTTTACTAATGATCTGATTGGTAGTTTAAACAAAAATAATATATATAATTATTATTTACTTTGCCATGAGCTAAATGACCTGCCAAAGCGACGTTTCTAATCAATGAGGGTGAGTCCATCATATCAGCCAAATATCTAAAAATTGAACATTTTATTTTTCTTTATATAATAAACTCTACCAATGTGTTTAGAATGCCCATTTCGAGCTTTTTTCTATCGCACAATTATTTATACATTATTGACCTTAAAATTTCAATCAAATTTGGATATTGCCTAACATTCCATATTTAGTTTTTGTATAATATAATAACTTCATGTGGATTTTTAAAAAATCAACCTAATACCCCCCCCCCCCCAATTTATTTCAGCATAATGGTACCTGTCCTATAGACTTCTGACAATTAAGAAGTAATATGCAAGTTAAAATAGTCTAAAGTTTATAGTGGGGTATTCAGCTCCTTTCAAATTTAAAAAATCGGCCATAGTAAATGGTTCAAAAATTTAGAGATTTTAGAACCCTCATTAATTCCATATACCAATTAGTGTTGTTAGAAGGCTCAATTTGAGCTGATTTTTAGATATGGCTAATATTTTAGCCAGAAAAAATATTGCCAAAGCCTCGAGATTTCACTGATAAGAGGTCCAACTTTGTGAAAATCTGTAAACAAAATCTTCAAGTTTGCATAATTAATTTTCTAGATAAAATAATTGAGTAGTTTTCTAAATAAAGGTTTATATACAGTGAAAAATATGCGAACCAGGTTCAGGTGTCAAAATTTTTAATTTCATAAAAAATGTTTTAATAATGAAAAATCCAAGAGGTTTTTAAATATTTAATGATTTTTATAATATATAAATATTACATATCTTATTATATATATATATTTTTTCTTATACTATTCAAATTTTTTATCATTTAAAAATAATTCTTGAACTCTAAATTTAAAAAAAGGGTTGATAATAAGGGTTTCTTGTACAGGGTTAACAGCCTTGATTGGATAATACTAATCCCAATAGGATATATAAAAACATAAATAAAATAAATAAATGTTTAAATACTTATTATATTTAATATTGAACAGACAAGGATTAATTCAATGTTTTTTGCAATTATAAATATATATTTGACTATTGCTTGTTAATGTTAAAAATATAGCATAAAAAATCTAGACAATAAAAATACTACTTTTTACAAACAAAACCAGGAAATTTTTATATATATTGCAAAAAATTCAATTAGAAATATATCAAATTGTGGTTCCTTTTTGAGAACTCAATTATAAAATTGTATTTTTAATTATGCAGTTTTTTTTTAAATTTTCATTATATATATATTATAATATACTATTATACATTATGAATAGATATGATTATAATGATTAATATATTTAGGACTTAATATAATATTGGGTGAGGTTAACTACATAACACCCATATATCTGGATTATATATTTTTATATCTTGACTTTTATTTGTATGTCTTATATGGATGAATAAATATTGTGTATGCAATTATTCTATTTATTATATCGGCACCATGGATGTAAATGTAATATAATTAATAAATTGATGAAAGATTAAATATCATAATAGTTTTTTAAACATAAGAAAAATGGCTAAATTTTAACCTATCAAACTGATAAAAGAAGTTAAAATAATAATCAAAAAATACTTACAGTGAATTGTTTGATAATTTTGGTTATTTGAAATATTTTTTTATTTAAAGCTAATGAATTTTAGTTACATAATGGTGCATCTCTTATTAAAACATATTTACAGATATTAATATTACTCCATATTATAGGTAGTATGAGGCAAGGCTTGTTCTGTCAACGAATATTTTTTATGCTTTATTGGTGCTATAATTGGTTCTATAAAAAAAATTAAATATTCATAATAAGCTGGATGGAATATATTTAATATTTTAAATTATACCAGTCAAAGCTTGTGTGTCTTCTTCCTGAACAACTGTTTCAACATCTGGTCCATAGACTTCTAATGCAGATGGGTAATATTTTTTATCTTCATGTAAAACTATTTGATTTGAAGTTGCCTCAATCCCATTAGTTATTTCCATTCTCTCGTTCTAATTTTTTTTATATGTAAAATTTATAATAAACTCAAACCTCATCTTGCGCATATTCATCTTCTTCATTGATATCATCTATATCTTTTGCCAAATTGTAAGCTGCATTTGATTCAGGAACTGTTTTATCGTCATCACTGTCACTTTCAAAATCTGGCCCAATATAATTACCAAATTCATCATATAAATCAGCGTCCATTAGATATAGAGAAAATGTGCTTCAAAATTTTTAAAAATAATATACTGGATAAGCCATAAAAGATAGTGATGCCTGTCAATCTTTTTTTGTTTATTAATTTATCTGTCATAAATTTAAAAAAATATAATAAATAAACACTATCTAATTAAAAAACTATAAATTTAAAACCCCATGATAAAAATACAATTTCGTAAGTTCCCAAAATGGAAACAAAGTTATATCTATAAAATGCTACAAAAAAGGTATTTTTAGATAATGTTAGCTAAAAAAAATGAAAGTTATTTTGAAAATTGTAAATATATTTTTTGAGACCCTCGAAATTTTAAAGCCTAGTTATATAACTAATTCTGCATTATTTTGTTATGGTTATATTCTGAAATAATTTTAAAAAAAATTATTTACGAAATTTTTAGTTGTGGCTCTGTTTCGATTCTTTTTTAAGTCTAAAATTACTCTCTTTTTTGTTAATGAGCAAAATTCTTTTATACTTTTTGAAAGATGGCGATAATGATAATAAATTGAATAGTTTCATTTCACATAATTTGATAGACTTTTTTATAAAAATTGTGATATTTATACTTATATATTATTCAAAACACAATTATTAAATCAATTGAGCGATAAATCTTTAAGTGATTTTGAATTCATGTCTTATCTCATTCTCGCCGATGACTTAAATTACTAAGATTTTAATAAGATAATAATTATATAACTATATTGATAGAAGGAGAAAAGTATTTTTTATGAGATCCATTTTTATATATCATATTTAATAAATGAGAGGCTAATTATTATATAAATATAATTGAAAGTAAATTATTTATAAATTAGAGTTGGGAGAATTGCAAATAATGAATTTAAGAAATAAAAAGTTTTATTTCTAAAGAAAAAAAGTATATACATGAATATATATCAAAAGTATACCTCTAAATAAAAGATAAATAAAAATAAAAATAAAAAATTAAATAATATATAAATGCAAAAAAATGACATATATCGCTGCGCTTCTTATTTAATTAATTTTAATTGACGATTCTATACACAAAAGTCTATATGATAGGATTTTTATTGGATGAAAACTCCACGCAAAAAACCTATGCCTACCTACCAAATTATTTTTGCATTCAGTGGGATATTTTAAATAAATTAGAAACCATTTTATATATATTGGTACTCCCTCCAGAAATTTTAAGAAGAATAACTCAAATTATTCGATACTACCTACTATCAAAATATTGTATATATAACGAGTTATTTTTTAGAACATGAATTCAATTAAAAACCCCCTCATTTACTACTAATAAATTGTTATAGTCAATTGTTTAGCTACATATTCTGACATCTTTAAATTACATTTAAAAGGAGATCAGAAAATTTTATTTAGAAAATAATTACTACATTTATAAGCAATATATTGATTTGGTTGATGATTAAATATCATTGTATTAATATAGATCTATCATAAAGTATTATTTTTTACAGTAATATATTTTGCTCTTTTCATCTAAAGATCTAATAGATAACCCCTCAATAAATACATCCTACCCTCATAAAGGCGCGTACCTGCTACACCCCCTTAAAAACATTTATGCAAACAGTTTCTACCCCACCCCCCGCCCCCCTTTTCCTTCTCATATAGATGTTGCTCACAATATATATTTACTTTTTTGAAAATAATAACTTTTACTCAAAAGATGTAGTAAGCTAATTAAAAATTATATCGTTCGAATTTTATATAAAAATAAAAGTTTTGTAGTGTATCTAAACCAATATTAATGACTATTAATAACATGATGTAAATCTGTATATTATTTAATAGGTCGTTTAGTCATTTTATTATTATAATGCTGGTCAATTTTAGCATCAAATATTTAAGTTAAAATCAGCATACACTCTTGATTCCATATGATATAAAAATCCTAAAATCTATGAAAGCTTGGCAAATTAGTAAATTTAAAAGCCCTTTAACTCTGATTCAAAAAAATATTCCAATAATTACTTCACCAAATGATTTACTTATAAAAATATGTGCATCAAGTATCAATCCCTTAGATATTCAAATGAAAGGTTTAATAAATTTATTCATCAATGCTGAAAAACCTTTAAATAGAAGGATATGGACAAAATATTATTCAAGTAATGAGAAAATTAAATGGAATACTGACTGGGATTAAACAACCTGATTTACCTTTAACGCTAGGGAGAGATTTTTCAGGAGTTATATGTGATACTGGCCTAAATGTTAAAAGCTATAAATTTGGAGATGAAGTTTGAATATAATTTATTAAATATTTTTTTTATTATATTAGGTTAGAATTTTATCATTAATTTTGAAATCTAATTAAAAAAAAGGTTTGGGGTACATTAGGAGTTCAAAGAACTTTGGGAACTCAATCGGAATTCACTACAGCATCTTATAAAAGTGTAAGCTTAAAACCAAATAATATTGAGCACTTTGAAGCAGCATCTTTGCCATATATTGCCATGACCACTTTTTCCTCTATTGTTAATACAAATTTCCCATTATCCCTCAAATTATTTTGTAACTATGAAAGTGATAATAAATTTTTCAATAAAACTCATGATAATAGTCAATATTATGACCACACAAAAAATGTAAATGATGATTTAACTGAAGAGAAAGCAAATAAGAAGTCATCTCCAGATTACACATATACAGAAATTATGGATAGTGGGGATGGAAATAAAGATTGTTTAGATGATATTTTAATTAAAAACATTCAAAACAAAAATATTCTTATAAGAGCTGGCTCTGGTGGAATATCAACATTTGTTGTGCAAGTATATTAAACTTTTATCCAGTATAATCGTACTGTTTTCAAATTGTACAATTTAAAAAAAAATTAACAATCGTCTTTTTTTCATTAAAATTAATAATTTTTCTTATTAAAAAAACAGTTAATGAAAGCTTATAATGCTAAAAATATTGTGGTGTTATGTAATCCACACAGCTTTGATCTCATGGAAGAACTTGGTGCTTATCATACTATTGATTATAAAGCCTCAGACGTTATTCAACAATCAAGAATTCTTGGCCCGTAAATAAACAAATTATTTATTTTAAATTGGACCTTTTTTAGGTTCTAAGGTTTAACTTCATTTTTTTAAATTATATATCATAATCAATTTTACATGTTATCAGAGACCTGAAGAGATACATTTTTAGGCTTGGGCCAGATTTATTTTTAATTTTTTATGCCTGGCCTCAAATAAATAATGTTTTTTTGTATGCTGACATCTAATATAAAACTTAGGATTAGTAAAATAAAAGGACACAGATATCTCTATCAAGGGAACTATCTTTTCAAGAAAACGTTCAATCTGATTGGTTAGATATAATTCTCTCGTTATTTCATCGAATGTCGATAAAATGCGGAGTTTATTTTTGTTCTAAAAATTATTTAAATATATAAAATAAAAATATCGACAAATAGAATCTCTTTTAATTCCTTCACATCAAAATTTTGGTGTTTTTTTAAAAAAAAAGTTATGATCTAGTGTACGACGCAATTGGTAATAAATTTTCATCCAGCACTTCCTCGAATCTTGATGATCGGCATTCCATAAAATCTTACATGAATCTCCTCAGGCCTTACAACAAATCGAAATACATTACCGTTTCTTCCCCTTTGCTCAGTAACGCGGATAAATACGGAGTCTTCCCTCTAGGATTGGGCAAATCCTTTTTGGACTATAATTATGAATCCATTAGGGTAAGTTTAAAAAAAAAAATAATTATAAGCTCTCATTATGCAAAGTCGGTTGAATTTTTTTTTTAGCTCCCATCCAAATACCATAAAAAATATTAATTTGAGTTAAAAAGATGTATTTTCATATTTATTATTCTTTATGAGTAGTGTTGTTTAAAGGCATGTTTCGAGCCTGACTCAATATTATATCCAGAAAAATAATACGCAAGCTTGAATATTTTGTTCGTAGAAGAAAGAAAATTCTGGACATATTTTATCGAAATCTCGAGACTTAGGCAATATTTTTCTGGCTAAAATATTTAGCTAGCCGTTTAACAACACTATTTATGATTTTTACTTTGCTCTATTATACTATTATGATCTCCATTTTAAATGAAACTCGCCATACATATATAACATTTTTTTACAAAGTACCATGACTAGTTAAGTATTGTCATTTCAAATTTTCCAAGTATTATCTTTTAAAATGATAATTTACAAGGTAATTCGATAGTTTAAGACATTATTATGAGCTAGTAATTGATTTGTTGTTATTACCAGTTCATGTATTTGGTTAGATTTCCCATGTGACCATAATTTTATAAAATAGGAAATTAATTAATAGTTTTTCTTTAATGGTTCAAATCTGTGAAACGAGATATCGCCAGAAATGGTTTTTAATATTTAAATTATACATTTCAAGGTTTCATGGTGATATTTTTTTATAAAGTTTAAAAATAACATCTTACAAAATAAAAAATGCTATTATTAGAAAGGGATAAACAAAATGTATATTTGTGTATATCATTTTTTTTAAAAGGCTTTAATGAAAGGTAATTTATTCTACTACGGATACTACATGCCAAACGCTCACTTTATGCGCAGGTTAACCCAATTGGTCGAAAGTGGAAAGGTTTACTTTATTACGTATATTTGTTTTTTTTTACCCTAATAAATGTCTATATAATATATCATCGGCTACACTTGTAAAATCTTTTTAAAATACGTTATCGAAAAATAGTAATATTACTATTTACACTTTATATAGAAATTTAATATTGAAAAAACTTGTCAAAATTTCACAGCTTTATAGAGCCAATATATATATTGGTTAACTATGATACCCTGGAAGGCCTTCTTATTGCTTGGGATTATACCTGTATAGATATATTAGCCAATACAAACGCACATGAAAATTCCGTTTCCTGAAAACTGCAAAAGAAATAAATACTCATTCCTAAAAACAATGACCACTTAGTTCCCGTGGTCTCCTTGGAAATTTTGGACATGAGCCCTCGCCTTTTTTAATAAAGAAAATAAGCTTTCAGTTCTATCTAGCGATCTTAAAGAATATTAAAATCTGCGTCATATTGGCTTAGAAATTTTCTGATAAATTTTTTTTACCAATCCATGCTTCTGAACTATTATTATTTTTTAAGAATAATAAAAAAAAATTGGATAATAAATTAAATAGTTTTGATGATTTTTCTATAAGGCAAGAAATAACGTAGATACCTATTATTTTTTTTCAAACAAGAACAATAACAAAAATATATGTCACCATATTTTGTCTCTCCTGAACAATTTTTTTAAAAAATGCTTACGAGTAGTGTTGTTAAATGTGAGCCGATTTTATAAGATACGGCTACCTCAGTATTTTATCCAGAAAAAAATATTAGGCAAGCCTGAAGATTTTGATCATAGATGGCAAAAAGGATTTTGAAATCTATTGGCAAAATTTCGAGATTTACGCAAATATTTTTCTGGCCAAAATATTGAGTTAGCCTTTTTACACTAGTTTGGACATCTATATTTGCTTGGGTAATATCATTCTGAATGAAGTATTGAGTTAGCCGTTTTTAAAAATGGTTGCAGTTTCGCTGAAGTATATAATGGGTTTTTTTTTTAATATTATGTTTTTGTTGTTTGTCCTAATAAAGATAATTAATGTAGTGTGGATTACATATATTTATTATCCTAATATTAAAATTTATAATTAATGATCAAATTATAGCATTTATAAAAGCCAAAAAAATTATTTTAAAATGTATACTAAAAATTAACCAAATTACATTCATTCCTCGTTTTATTCTTCAGTAAATAATTTCCAATTTTTAAAAAAATATTTTGCCAAATCGAGCCTCTTTGAAAAATATTTGTAAATAAGTTTTAAAAGAATAGTAATTTAAATTGATTTTTTTTTATTAGTTAACAATAATATTTATTTTTAATCCACTAAAAAAAAACAAAAGATTAAATTACATTTTATTATTAAAAAAAATAAAAGATTAAGCCAGTTATCGATCGAGTTTTTCGATTCGATGATTTGCCGCGAGCTTACGAATATTTCGGGGATAAGGGCCTATCAAAGAAGGGAAAAATTGTCATCGATAATACAAAAGCCTCGCCGCCAGATTAATTTTTCAATTTTTATAAACAGCTGTTTAATTTATTATTTATATTATTTTCACCCATCCATTTCAAAATTTTTCAGGAAAAATTTTTTTTTATTATAAAAAAATAAAAATTTAAGTATATAAAAAATATAAAAAAAAATGAATAATATATTTATATTGTATAAATTTTATAAATACGCTTTAAATATTATTATTATTTTGTATATCAAAAATAAAAAGAGATAGAAGATAGATATTAGAAACAAAAATAGGAATGATGCCAAATGATAACAGTCAAAAACTTCTTGTTGATAAAAAAAAGAGGGATATTTATGACAATGCGTTGCACCCTTCCTTACCCACTCCACCCCCTTCCTCCATAAATTCCATTTTTTGTTGCTAAATAATATAAGTTTAGGGTGCTAACGTCTAGTCGAGACCTTAAAACTTCGTTGGAAAAAGAATAAATTAAATTTTAATAGGGATTGTTTAATCATTGACAATAAATAATAAAATATAGTTTTAAAAAAAATGAATTACAAATATATGAAAGAAAAGAAAGCGAATAAATAAATTAGAAAAAAAAGAATAAAGAGAATAAATATAAGATTGAAATTGTCTATTCTTTTTTAAAATAAAAAAGATATCAAAAAAATAAAGGAAATGAGATAACATTTTGTAAGTAATGGAATGTTAAAATTAGCGCGTTTAGTTTGTTGCCAAAACGTCGAACTTTGTTTTTATAGATAAAAATATATCAATATTTAAGACAATCAATAAAGGATTTCAAGATAAATATTTGAAATTATAGTATTTGGTTCATTAGATATAAAGGGATATCAATATAACTTCGCAAAGATATCATTACAAAAAAAATACTATATAAATACTTGAACATTGCTGTAATGCTCAAATGATAACTTTTCACAACTCGGAAAAAAAATAAGGTTACAAGTCTTATAATATATTTACAACAAAAATGGCCTTTTATCTTTTCGCATTTAAAATTCGAATCTGTAATAATAAAAAAAAAAATTATTCAAAAATATATAATATGTATTCTTAGGCTGTGTTATTGAGCAGGTACAGGGGAGAAATCGAGTTTAGGCTATCGATATCGGTGTTATTGACGTTATGGCGGGGGCCATCGTAACCCCCGGAGAACGAGTGCCCGCCAAATGAGTTTGAAAAATCTTGTCGAGAGTTGTTTCGTGGTGGGGGTCTGCAAACCACGAGCCTGACCATGTGTTCCCAACTTTTGATGAGTTCCAGGGCTTGGCAATGGGATAACATATGGGTCTTGATCCCGTTAATCTCTAGTATTTCGTCGCCGACCTTTACAAATTAATGGAATTTATTTATATATATATATATATATATATCAATTCACATTTTGTTTTTAATTTTATTATACCAATTATAAATAAATATTATAATTGATAATAAAATCTAAAGTAGAACGTTAATCGATGTTTAACTAATTATAGGCTCTTTTAGTATAATATGGGACATTTGTGTAAAAACTTTTGACCGATAACAAGTCAATTTCACAGTTTACATGATTTACAAGATACTTCGACTGTTTGTCGAAGGACTTTCACAGTTGCAATCAATTTGCTGTCATCGCGTGTCGTTACAAAGAAGAAACAACAAGAAAAACTCACTGTCTTAAATTTTTTTTTACTTAGCATTAGAAAATCAAACTATAAATAAGCATTAAATTTCGTTAATAAACAGTTTACGATCAAATGATTAAAATTAATTTTATCTGCTTAGACGCGCAATTAAATAAAAATAAAATTCCGCTTAATATAAGTGTCGCGTATGAATTTAGTATTTTAAAAATCAAATACCAAATACTAATGCAAAAATTATACTATTTATAATTTAAATCCTTAATATTAATGTAAAAATTATACTGTTTATAATTATTGTTTTAAAAGTCAAATATGTTCTTACTTGATACCTTTGTTCTTATTCTTTAACCTTTTCTTTTTTGTTTTCAAGAAATCTCAACTAATAATTTTTCCCCTTTTTCACAAAACACCTTTGCTATAACTAATATATATCCAATAAATATTTTTTTCTCCCCACTACAACATTTAAAAACTATTCGAATCGAATACAAATAACACCATTCAGTTCGTTTTTTGAATAGGCAAACACCTCATTCATAGCTGAGCGATTTCGCTTGCAAAAAAATACAAAAATACAGTATAGTTTATATTATTCGCTGCGATTTCGGGCTAACCGTGAATGAAGGGGTAATCTCGTGTTATCTTACTATTTTAAAACCTTAATTTTACTCTTTTTTTTAAGAAAAAAATCTTTTTAGAATCTCTTTAAATCATTCATGTTTAGGCTGAGTCATTCCCATTATTACAACCTTAACAACCTTTGGGAATTGTGCATTATCCCTTTTCAAGGAACTTGGCTGGCACATTCGTAAACTTAACGATGACAAAACTATATTTTTTTTTCGTACCTTCTTTTTAACATGAAGTCAATCATTTTCGTTCGATAAATTATGAATCGAAATATTATTATATAAAAAGTGCCGTAACATATCAATTCAGACAATATTTTTAAAACAAAGAATGACTTGGGTGCATGAGAAAATTATAATGCTTTAAAAAAAAATAACCTTCAATTTGCCATCTTTATCTGCTGGACCTGAATCAGCGATACCGTAGACGTATAGGGGCATGTTTTCGAATTCCGCACCCCCTCTAATACTAAATCCAAAGCCCCGCGTTCCTTTGTATAGCTCTATCTTTATGGGAGAACACGGGTCAAAGGCGTTTATCGCCGACGAATTGTGGTTGCGGTTAATGGTGTAAGTTTTGTTATAATTTTTATTGTTCTTAGAAGTGAAAATGGGAGGGTGGGGCATTAAATAAAAAAAAATAAATAATTTAATTTAATTTATCTAATTATATTATGAGAAAAATGTATCATACAAGTATTGATGCTAAGGACGGTAAAAAATGAAAGAGAAAGCTGGCCAACCTGAAAATCGCCATTAAACGAAAATATAAGATCTAATAATCTCTGATAATGAGTTTGTTCTGAGTTCATTAAGTCATGATCAGCATAATGTTAAATAATTTTTTTTGGGTCTAGTATTTATATCATCATGTGAGATAATAAAAATTATTTCTAAAAACATTCAAGCATTGATTTTTTCCACAATTATCTTTTTGTTTGTTTATTTCGTTATTGCCAGTGCATTCTTTTATATCCTTATCAAAAAATATATGAACTGGACCTGTCTCATCAATAAAAGGACCGGCCAAACGATTATAACGGGGTAGGGATAACCGGCAGTTTTTACGCGGTCTAAATGATTTATCCTTTTTAATCTCTTACATGATTTCCTATAATTCGATGGTACTCGTCGAACGTAGGGTAGTTTTGGGGTGAATCAGTGGAAGAGCCGCTGTTATTCGGGCTTTTAACGCTTGAACCCAGATCACTATGCTTAAGGAGTGACGCGGATGACGGGAATTGGTATGCTAAAGGTGACTATTATAAATAAATAATTTTTTTAAAAAAATATTATGATCGATATAATTAACCCTTGAGAGGCTAAGTGGAGTGCATTAGTGATCTGCAGACCCGAAATTTTTTAAAAAAGTTTTGCCGGCCCGGCCCGAATTTATTTAAATATAGAAATTAATTTTTATAATTACTCAAAATAAAAGACATATGTTATATGTCGTTTAGTTTCAATAAATAAAATCAAATATTTTTATTTTACATAAAAAATTCATTATAAAATTGATAAATTAAGATATATTTAAAAAAATCCCAAGTTCCGACCCGACCCGGCACGAATTTTTTTTAACGGACTCGGGCCGGGCCTAACTTTGCAGATCTCTAGAGTGCTTAACTTGTACCCCAAGCATTTATGAATCGTTATTATAATATTCATTTTATCATTTGATGAATATTGTAAGATATCACATTACTCTTAAATTGTTTTAAATAATGATTGACTTGAAGACCTAGTTAAATAAAACTTATTTATAAACAATTCTAATATTTGCTTTTAACTAGAAGATTCGCATATTATTTGTACCCTCAGTTTTAATCCCCTCCCCCCTCCCAAATCATACTTTAGGGTTATCATAGTAGTCATTGGCCGACTTGAGAGTGTTCTTGCTATGGTTGATATCTGTTTTTTTTTAAAATTAATTAAGTAGAACGAAATTTTCAAAGTTAACGAAAAAATATATAAATCTATTCTCATCAGAACATAACATAAATGATTAAGATAATTCATCAATTTGTATAAAAAAACATCTTTTGTTTATTTCGGGTTAATTAAGTTTGATTTTTTTTAAAAAAACATGTTTTTTCGTTTGTTTTTAATGTTTTTTTTTAAAAAAAACCTTTCGTTTTCCCATTGGAATAAGAGGGTTGATCTTCGTTACAGACCGAATTTTTAAGTATCAAGTGCAAAGAAAGGCCAGATCTTTTGATTAATTCCACTATTTGCTGGTGCGTAAAATGGGATAAGGAGGACGACGAATTATTTTGCCCGACACTTTTGGTTTCTGAATCAGCCGTGCTCCTGACATCTATTCCGTTTATGGCCAAGATCTTTTGACCAACTCTTAAAAGAGGACATTTATCAGCAGGGCTATCATCTATGATTTTATCTGGGAACATGCATTTTATCAAATTTTGTTATATGTATTTGAGAAATTAAAAAATTGAACTCATTATAACAGTTTCGATATTCTATCTTCCTCCATCTATATGTCAAAAAGTTAAAATTATTTTAAGAAAAAACGTCAAAAAAAAACTCTTGTTAGTGAAGGCCACCCGGAGCGGTTCAAACCCGCTTCACATTATTTTTAAAAAGTGGTTAACAGCACAACATTTAGATAGATTTCACAAACCAAAATGGAATCTCTTTATTTTGTCGGTCAAATCGGTTGAGACTAAATCTCAATTTCGGAATATGGAGTGGCCTAAACCGACAAGGCAAATTTATATATAGATCTTCTAATATTCACTTTTCTTCCTTGGTTTAATTTAATGATTAAAAGTTTAGGTCATCATAAATTTATTTATTGTTGTAGATTCGAATTTCTATTTAAAAAAATTCCGATTGGCGTTAATCAATCATATCGTTTATAATAAACAACAACGAAATAATGCGAGGCCTAAGTCCAGTTCTGTAACGCTGCGTTTAAAACGTTCGCAATTTTAAAAATTTAACTTTGAAAGCGTTTTAACCGCGGCGTCAAAGAAGTGGGCGGACTAGAGTCAGGCAGGAGCAGGACAGACCTAAAGAAAAAAAAAATAATGACTTTTTGTTTTACGTAAGCGATTTTTTTTTAAATGAATTTTTAAAGCTTCAGATTATTTACTTATATAAGATCCAGATTTCCCATCCAGGGACGACAATATGATGAACCCAAAGCCGTCATTCAGAGTTGAACGAGTCAGGTGGCAGGATATTATTTCGTCTTTCTGCTTTTTCGTATTACCGTTAACTAAACGATCATTAGATTGGCCTCCTTTTTAATGTAGAAACATCGTGGGGGGTGGGGGAAGGAAAAAAAAATTATATAAATGCTTTTTGATTGGTGAAATTATTACGATCCATGTTTACCCAATCACAAAAAAAGGGCGGAACTCTCTGGGTGTTCTTTAAAAGGATTTAGTTAACTCGTGTTTTAATGCTAATATTTCTTTTACGACCTGTAGATTGGACAGAATTAGCTGGGTTTAGCCCATTATCTCAAACTATAGAAGAGAACTATCTCAATGAAATGAAAAGATGCCAATCATTATTAAAACGATGCTATAGGGACAGTGTTCTGAGCATTTATCTCCGGACCCGAACTAAAACAAAATATTAGACTTCTGAACCTCGGATCTAGTCAAGGTTAGAAGAAGTTATATCGTATACGCGAATGGATTACCGCGAATATAATTACGCGTCCTAAACTAGGTATTATAGATATAGACGTGATACGGGCTAGAGTTGTAATAATATATATATTTTTTAAATACTACACAATTTTTATCAACACAAGACTTTATCTCCAACATAAATAAAATTTTTAATGATTAGCAAATATAAATTAATTATTTTTATCAAATGATTTGATAAGAAGATGGTAGCTTTCATATTAAAATTGTTTCTTTCCATTAGATTAAAACACAATAAAACATGCATCTAGAAACAACGCAATATTTCCATTTCATTTAATTTTTAATATGTTTATACATAAGGTTAAAATCGGGGATTTGATCCCAAATTCCATTTTAATATACAAAATTATTTACCTAATTAACAAATTATAAGCAATGTATTTGTCCATTTTAAAAATAAATTTAGTGTTTAAAATATTGTGGTTTCGAAGCGAATATAATAATAGCGGTATTATAGACATGTGCGCCGATAGCATTATTGGCGGCGGGGTTAGCGTGGTCAAAAATCTAAGGCGGCGCACATGCCTAGTGTGGTATAGCATGTTTAATGTCGTTAAAAAAATATGCTTTGTTGTGTTCAAATCTAAGGATGTATTTTGTGAAGGAATTAATTAATTCATAATTACGTTAAATTGTTTGTTTTTTTTTGAGCAAAAAAATTAAGTATATAATATTAGGATTTAAAAGGCAAGACCTGGCATAGAGTTAATTAATAAATAATTAGATGGATAGAGTTTAGATTAATAAATATATTCAATAAATATAAGCTAATTTTTTTTTCTTAAAAAAATGATAGATATTATTTTTTTGGGGGGTATATAAATGTATTATAATTTTGCTATCCTATCTAAAAAAAAACATTAGTAGAACTTGTATCAAAAACTGTTGTAATATGGTTTCGCAATTTGATAACTTATTTTATATTATTTTGTTTTGTTAACCGGATGATTTAATTTTTATTTTAACAAGTGAAAATTTACATAACAACAAGGAATATAGATCAATCTTCGGTCTAGAATTGGAGTGCTCCACTTACGCAAATGTATAAAAAATGAGAAAAAATCAACATTAAAGTTTAAAATCAAATCGAAGAGGGTTGGGGTTGAATCATCAGTTATCTCATATTTAAAATATCTAAGCTGCTGCGTCTAAGGCTCCGCCAAACCTGTCCCCCTAATTTATAGGAAAACCTTTATTGATCAATTTTGACAGAGCTATAACTTTGGCAAAAATTAATATTACTTTTAAATCTAGTTTTTTTAAATTTATATATATACTTTTGGAAAATAAATAATTTATTATCCATTTCTAACTCAAAAATTTTGAAAATGTCGAGTGGAGCACGCCAATTTTAGACCGACGCAATAATATTGATAACATTTAGATTTTGACTTTTTTTTAAATATAATTTTATAATTTTAAGAAATTTTCGTTTTACTTTAAAAATGGAATTGTAATTCGTTATCATAATCATATTTGCGACATCGTTTTATTTTTATAAGTACTACCTTAAAATAAAATCACTATCGAATATTCTGGTTCTACAAGCTAATCAACCGAGTTCGGATTTTAAAAAATATCCGACCCTTGACTCGAATCGAACAGCCCTAAAAAAAATTTATAAGGTCTTGAACCCTGAAGGCTATTTATCAGTCTAAGTGTCACCTCCTAAAAGTCTATTTCTAAACAAAACTTGTTATGAAGCGCTATGGACGCCATTTAATCGTTGATTAAAAAAAAATGGTGGCAAATTTATATGATGCAAAAAAAATAAATGAATATAATATGACGAATTAATTTTACAATGTTTAGAAAATAAATTATTTTAAAAATTGTCACCAGCTGATAGATCGTTATGTATACGAAAATCGCGTATCCTTTCAAAATCGCCCGCGACTATCCTCACTTTATCGTCCCCGTTACAGGAATTTATAGCGGCCTTACGCGCGTGGTCGCCATCTCGACGATTAGCTGAAGCAACTTTTACGGGTGTGTGTGAATATAAAAAACCGTTCGGGGTATTTTTATTCGTATTTTGATAGCCGTTTTTGAGGGAAGAAAATGATTTGGCGGACGGGAAGCGGGGAAGGTAATCGACGTTAGGTAACACTTTAGATCCCTCTTCGCGAGTAATGGCGATATAATTGCCTTTACCGTCTGGCGGGCGATTAAAATTATTAGAAATAAACTTCGCGTTCGAATTCGACGAATCGTGTATTCTCTGATCGGACTTAGATTTTTCGTGGTTCGAAATTTTAAATTTATGTGGCAGGGTTCGGGAATAATAATTATCGCTTTTGCGATTGGCCCATTTTTTTGCGGGATCGATAGTGTTGGCTGTATCGAAAATGCCGGGGGGTAGTCGCAACTTGATACCCCTGCAAATTATGATGTGAACGACACTCTCTGGTTGAAAAGATTTAAATAGATCCAATATATCGGAATGAGAATGGCCTAAAACGTTAACGGAATTTACGTAGACCAGTATGTCGCCTTTTTTTAGTCGATAAAAAAAAAATAATAAATTTCCAACTATAACTTATATTTAAGTGAGTAAACTAGAGCCCCGCCCGGACCGGACCATATTGTGCTATTCCGAACACAAACCGCGTGGGGCCAGAAAACCCGACCGGGTTTGATGTAAAACTTCTTACGTTCAGCGAATTAACATATTACGCGGTATTTGATGGACATTTAATTAATTTCATTATACTTGTTGTTGTTGATATAAATTTATATTATATCAAAAAATATTAATAGCAATTTTTTTTTAAAGTCTTAAAATACTTGTAAAAAAATTTTTTAAGCGTATTAAAAGCAATAAAAAAAAATAAATGAATAAATTTATTTAACGTGTTATTTATTGTTTGAGGATATGCTTTTTTTTTGCAGTAAATTTATAAAATTTTCTTTTCAAAGAATCCCAATTTTCATTTATATGTTATCGGTGTTCACGAGAAAAATATAAATGTCTAATACATTTTTGAGGTTCTAATGAAGATATTATATACTTATTATAATGAACCACGGAATGGATCTATTTTTTTTAGAGTTACAAAAGCGTCATTTAAAAAGGAAACGTACCCCATAGACTACTCACCTCTCGATATATTATGAATCTCACTCCTCCCCACCCCCACTTCCACTCAAAGATCGAAAATCATCCATTTTTGAATTATCTATAAATCATTTTTTCACCTTTCTCCAAATTCCCGTCGTAAAATGCTGGCGATTCGGGTAAGATCTTGTTGACAAACAGGTAATCCTTGTCCCTGTCCGAATGACCGAGTATTGTGAACCCAAAGCCCTTCTCACCTTTGGTCAGATAAAAGCCCAAAAGATTACCGCCGTACGATTGGCTCAAATCATTGGGATCTTTGGTGAATTTGAACACTGAATTAAATGTAAAGATAATAAGAGTATAGAAAGATTCGAAAAATAAGTTGAAACCGGTTTATTCGAACAGTTTTGGTTTCAAATAAATTATTCGTAAACCGGTAGCACCGAGTATTCGGGTTTGGTATTTAAAATTGAAAGTCATGCCCTCAAAAAAAATTTTTTTTTAAGGAAAACGTTATAACCGAGAACATTAACTACTAGAGTCAGCGTAAGATTGTTCAAAAATGGAATCAAAAATAATGATTTATTTGTATATTATGGAAGGAGAATTGTGATACCAAACAGCTGTCATTTTCAAAATTAAAATTGTGCGGCCGAATGTACAGTGAATGAGTATATAATAACTATGATTGGTTAAGTAGCTATATTTTTAGCTGTACGACCCCGCTAAAATTCCTTAATAAGGTTGTGTCTTGATTAGTTTTCTGTTTAGATAAATTTATACAGCTGTTTTGAATAGCGATTTTTTTTAGATTTCAAAAATAGGAAATTTAGACGTATTTTTAAGAATATATCGTCTTATGCAAAATCTGCTATTCTGAATAGTGTTGTTAAACGGCTCTAACTCATCAACATTATAGCCAGGAAAATATTGCCTAAGTGTCTAGATTTTGCCAATAGATGTTCAATCCTATGTGCCATATATGAACAAAATCCGGCTCAAATTGAGCCGTTTAACAACACTAATTCCGAATAGAATTGGAGAACAAAAGTTTAATTCGAGCTAAAAATTAAAACGCTTTATTTTGACCCAAGTTCGATCCTCCAGTTTTCGTTCTTCTTAAAAAAAATAGTTCAATTTTGAAGAAATCAGAAAAAGTTTGACTCTCTCCTCAGTGCCCAGCAAATTTTCTTCGGACAAGGGCCCGTAGATTAAGCCGAGTTAGCTAATTTTTAGCTCATACCCCAACTTAAGAAAATAAAGATGGTGTGACTATCTATTGGTCAATGCGAGTACGTTTAGTATTATCGGATTGTTTTAAGTTTATGATCAAGAGAATGAAATAATATCCCAGCTAAAAAAAAATTTTTTTAAACAAATTATACTTGACAAAGATTCGGGATTATGTCTCAACGTGGAATAGCCATTGATTCCGCATTTGGCATCTCGAATTTTGACGACGTTTCCTCTAATTTCAAATTTTTAAAATAGAGTATATAAACCAAGGCACAAATTTATTCATTACAAAAAAAGAGTAAAATTAATGGCCGTCTCATTTTAATTTTTTTTTTTAAATAAAAAAAAATCATTTCTTTTAAAAAATATTTTTTAATTTTATTTTGCGAATAAAATATAAAAAAATGCGAAATTTTCTATGAAAATAAAAAGCCCAATGGCAATGTATTATTTTTTTTTGTCACTCTCTTAAATTTTAGGTCAAAGATAGTATATTATTTATATCTTTACAAAACATACAAAAATAATAAAGTATCAGGTTTTTTGTGTTAAATTACCCCTAAATGACTTGAAAATATAATTAAAACTTCAAATTTTAAAAAATAGGATACATTAAAATGGGCTGTCCGCCATTTAGAATACTTCTTCCTTTTTTTTGTCACTCTCTTACAAAAATATAAGGTATCAGGTTTCGTATTAAATTACCCCCAAATGACTTGAAAATATAATTAAAACTTCAAATTTTTAAAAATGGGATTCATTAAAATCAGCTGTTCGCCATTTAGAATACTTCTTCCTTTTTTTGTCACTCTTTTACAAAAATATAAGGTATCAGGTTTCGTATTAAATTACCCCAAATGACTTGAAAATATATTTAAAACTTTTATTTTTTAAAAATGGGATTCATTAAAATCAGCTGTTCGCCATTTAAAAAATACGGTTTGGTAATATACAGAACCTACCAATGTATCATGGAAATGTTTTGTAATTAAATTCCGTTCTTATTTTTGTGTTCTTTTAATTGTTCCGTTTAAACTATATCCGGTAAGCCTCGTCGCAAGGATATCTCGGTTCGGTAGAATTTCCGGTTTGTGTTGTTACACGGCTCACAATTTAAAAATGGCTAACCAAATATTTTAGTCCAAAAAAATTTTCTACGCAAGCTTGAGAGATTTTGCTCATTGAAACCTGAAATGTTTGGAACATCTCATTAGAAATCTCGAACCCTTGTGTAATATTATTTTGGCTAAAATCTTAATTTAAAATTGAATGGAGCCATTTAACGACACTATTTCCAGTTGTAAATTTTAAGCTAAAAGTTAAGAAAGGAATGAAAGAAAGAGAGAACCTCCAGTCTCGTGGAATCATATTACAGATACAGCTAAAACTTTTGAAATATATATGTGATAGAGTATTATTCAAAAAATCATTTTTTTTTGCTCAGAGTTCCGGTATAGGAACAGATTCCATCTTTTTTTTTGAACTGGGAAATTTGTATCTACCCAACTTTGTGGACCGATCCTCTTTTATACATATTCATTTTTTTTTTTTTAAAAACGCATAATTAAAAATCCGCAAAAAGTAGGTCCAGCGGATCACGGACCTTGCCAAAAATAATTTATTTCTGGTCGGGCTATGCGGGACAAATTTTTTTAAAAAAAATTGTTCGGAATCGGGTCGGACTTATGAAATATCGCCCGACGCGGATCACTAATTTATAATGTAAAATTATTTTCATAGCGGCCATTTTTAAATGGAGCCTGCTATGCAATATTTTATATTTAGAATGTGAATATTAGTGTATAAAATTAAAGAAGAGATTAATATTTTTAATGTCATTTTCTTGTCCGTAATTGGGGAATATATACGAGTATTTCCATCTCACCCTTTTCTGTTCCCATCCGAGATTTTATCCGATGATGAGGATTTCGACTTATCCAGCCTAGCAACCCCGGAAATGCCATGGTATAAGTTATTTGTTTCTATCGGCATGGCGGAAGCGGAAGAAGAATTTGGTTGGTGGCCTATGGTCAAGGGTTGGTAAGCCTGATGATAGGGCATATTGCCCCCTCCGAGAGACCCGTATTTGAAGCTAACATCGGAACTCCCATCCTCGCTAGAATAATTAGCATTTTTCTTGAGACCATTTCGGTTATTCGGGGTCGCCTTATCGTCGCTATTATAGTCGCCATAGTTGAAATACTTTTTGCCCTCGGTAATGTTGTCACGATTAGGACCGCACTTGGGGACATTATTTTCGCCATTTACGGGGCCGCCCGAGTAATTGACGGGGCTGTTGACGCTGTTCAGCGAATTGATAGAATTCAGGGTTTGGTCGGAAACGACGGAATTTCGTTTATCACGATGTTCCTGAGGGCCCTTAGAGCCCTTATTTTTCACGCCATTTTCGATGACTTTGGCGCCGTTCCTATTTTCGCCGTTACCGGTCGATACCTTAGGGAGGTAAGAGGTCGTTATGGTTGGATTGACGGTCAGGGAGAGGGAAGAAGAATTGCCCCTGGAGTTCAAGCTTTCTTTCGAATTTTGAGAAGAGGAGGATCCCCCGTTAGCTTTATCGTAAGGAAAATTAACGGATTGAATATGGTCTTTTTTGATGGTATTCGAGGGTGTCAGGGAAGCGGAGTTTGGAGTAGGTATCTCGATTCGCAGGGGAGAGTGTCCCCCATTTTTGGTTAGCGAAGGCGGCGTGGAGGAAGTGGAACGAGTAGTGGAAAGTTTAAGGGGCGAATTGGGCGAAGCGGGCAAAGGAGTGCCGTACAAGTTTCCTGGCATAAAATAAAAAAACAACAAAAATAAAATTCAAATCAAAGATCTGCAAAACCCGGATCGGCAACAATTTTAGCACAAGCTGCACTGCCCGTTAAAAAGGAAGGGCCGGATATTTTTGCAGGAAAATGTCCTTTTTCGACAATCAAAATATTCCAAAAAAAATTGTAAAAATATCATGTCAAACCTCCCCCCCTCCCCATTGTAAAATAAAGTATTAAAAAACTATTTATTTGTTTTGCAAGTTCGAAAAATGTTTAAAAAAACCGTCGTAGACTCCGTATTCGATGAGCTGCCCGGATTTTTGCAAATGACAAAATTCGTCGAGCGATAAGAAAATGTAATCTAGGCCGTTAATTTCGCCGGGTCTCGGTTGTCGGGTAGTGCCTAAATTTGTCGATAATTTCGAAAACATAATAAATATCTGTTCGTTTTAAAAAATTAAAAAAAATCCATTGAAAATTTTTTAAATCAAATTAGAGATTAGAGGTCTCCGTAAAGTTGGCCAGTTCTAGGGCCCACTCATTATTTTTTTTAAAATTCTTCTGCTAGCCCTATTGGTCTAAAAAATGTTTTTAAAATTGGCGAGGGAGGGGTTGTAAAATAAATGAAGATTATAGTTGGTTAATGGCTAAATGCCGGCTCAATCATCAGGTATTTGCCGCTTCCAAATTTGAGTCGCTATCTTTTTAAGATAAAACCCCGAGGCCAAAGTGGAAAACTTGGTTTAGCCGATTTTTTTAGCCGGATAAAAATTGGCTTAAACGGCTAAAAAAATATAGTAAAATGTATAACATATCCCAGATTAACTAATGTTCTTTACTCAAAATTAAATACAAAAAAAGGAGGGATAAATTAAGTGGCAAGGAAATGAGAAATGAAGTAACATTTTTAAGTTACTTTTATAGTTACATTTCATTTTTTTAAGGTAACTAGTAAAAATAAAAAGTAATTTACAATTCCCACCTTGTTTCTTAAAAAAAATAAATAATTAAATTATACTGAAAAATTTGTGATAAGTTTAGAAGAAGAAAATGGAGATATGATTGGCAACCGTCAATTATTAAAAAAAATAGAAAAACTCGAAAGTAATGTCACGGGAAAAGTAAAGAAATACATTAATAAAATAGTCAGTCAGTAATTTTATTTTAAAAAAAAATATGTTAATTTAAACCTAGAAGCCTGAATCAGTATCAGCTAGGTATTAGTTGCTATTGTTAACCTATAATTCATAGCGGCGCGATGGCGATCGCGATTTAACAGCTGATCGATTTTTAAAATCTGTTTATATGAGATCAATTTTTATTTATTAATATTAATTTTGTCCTTAATTCAATTCACAATAATGATCTTAAGAAATAATGAATTTAATAAAGAAAAATTGCTCTACATAAGCCGATTTTAAAAAATTGTCAGCTGTTAAATCGCGCCACTATGAATTTAAAGTATAATAAATGTTATCATAAAAATTTTATCGAAATATAATTTTATTTGTGTTTTTTTTTATGTTTTCGTAATTACGATTGATAATTATCCGAAATCAATTTAAATCGATAAAAATAAATCTATTTCCGGCCCCGATCAATCAGGTGATCAATATCGTTTTGGATGAATATCAGAGAATAATCGGATCGGTATAATATATATTTTTTTTTAAATTGCAATAATGGATAGGCATACCTTCCATTTTTTTGGAGGTTATATTCATATACATACGGATTATGTTGACAAAATTATTGCTACAAATAAAATATCACTAGTTACCAAGGGGAGGGGGTATAAACTGACGTACAACTTTCCTAGAGGCCGAATCAATTTTATGATAGTAACCTACAGGAAAAAGGTCCAATAGGGAATATGAAGAAAATTCAATAAAAGCAATTATGAGTCATTCCAATATACTTTTATTGGGCGAAAAGTTTACGAGTAACTTAGGGGTTACTTTTTTTTATAAAAAAGTATACGTTTGATGTAACTCTCTAGAATTTAAAGAAACATTATTTTTGAAGAAAAAATAAACGTCAATCTAATCCTAGCAGCCACATCATGTCTTAAGTTGCCCATTGAGTGGATAGATAAAATCAAATAATTTAATGTTTAGATTAGAACACAAGTATTTTTTTTAGTTGGACAAAGTAATATATAATTATTTGTTTTTTTACTAACCAATAATAAATTTTTACTAGGTATTATTGTGTATTTAGTGTAATAAGAAAAACGAAAAAAAACCTACATGTTTTTAAAGCAAAACAAAAAAAAACAAAACTATTATATATTCTAACATTTCCAACTGTCAATTGTTGATGTTTGGTATGTCTGTCACGCAAAATATTCGATGTTAATCATCGCCTCACTGTGACTTAGTGTGCAAACCGACACATGTAGCTGCGCCATGGGTGCAAAGGTATCCATTTACATTGCAGGACTATATTAATTATTACTGAAAATTCTAAGATACTCCATTACACCAACAGCTGTAGGGCATTTGCCTTACGCAATCATTTTAGGTCAAAATTGAACAATTTTCTAATATTTGAGTAGGGGGGAGGGGGCAAAGAGTTCTCCGTTTAGATGGATGAGGTGAAAACTCTACATGTGATATGTGTTTTATAATAATCCAGGTCGAAGCAAAAGGCTAGAAATTCATTATTTCGGGGTAAGATGGGTCGATTAGGGTAATTGATGGGACTCATAATACCGCAAAAGTTGTATAAAATTTTTGTAAAAAAAATCAAAAAAATAGTTTTTGAAAAAAAAATTTAAATCTATATTTAAAATCAATTAAAAATAATTATGGGGCTAAGATTGTAAAAATATCGTTTTTAAGTAGGGGAAATGTTGAAAAATAAAATAATGTTAACATATTGTAAATTTGATATTTTATTTTCAAACTAAAATAGCTATTGCTATTTTTCAACCGGTTAAGAATTAGCCCAATTTAAAACTCTTAATGATTGGAAGAATTCGCAAAATGTTTTTCATTACGCGATACTAATAAAATAAAATAAGTAAGTAATCAACTCTTTCATCCTTTGTGCTAAACGATACAACTGAACTTTAACTCTCGCTCACTTCTTATCCTACCTTTAAAACCCATATCCTTAAAATTTTACAACTAATGAAATACGGGGGGCTTCTGTATCCAAACACCGACATTAAACCTATCTTGGTAAAGTTTCAAGCAAGATCAGAGCCATTTACTAAATAAATTACTTTTTCGGATAATACAGTAAACAAAGTAGATCCAAATTAATATTCTAAAAAATTACAAAACAACTATTTACTGCATTCTTCATAATCCGCTTCAGTCGAGAGAGTATTCTCATTCGTTTGGAGTTGTTCACTCTAAGCTTAGGAATCGGTTAGGAACCAGAAAAAATAGAAAAATTAGTTTTTTTTTCTTTTTTATTTAAGGAATTAAATTCTGATAACAATGTCGACGATACAAAATCAGAAACCTTTTTTATAATATATCCAGGCCGGGCCGTATATTTTAAAACCAAATATTTGAAATCCCATTATTAGCTATAAAAAACAAAAATAAATATAATATTTTAAAAAAAATCCGGGCCGGGTCTGAAAATATAAAACCCGGGCCGGGCCGAAAATTTTTTTTTTAAAAAAAACCGGGTCTAGTAGCTAGTGCAAATGATACCTCTGCATTTATATATATATGTTTTTTCTTAATTTTACTAAACTAATTTATTATTTTTTTATTATTAAAGAAATAAAAAAAAAATTATATTTTAAAAATATTCTCGTTTTATATTTAGAAAATATTAAATAATTTTTCACACTATCGCGATTAGAAATCTACAAGTTATTTTGTCAAAAAAATTGAAAAAGAAAATAAACCTTTATTGTTGTCTAACAAAGTGGCGATTACCAGTGCAATTTGAATTTATTTAATTTGGATCCTGCTTATCTGAGTTCTATCATTGATTTTTTATAAAAAAAATATCGGGGTGATTTAAATCGGCCAACCCTGATTAATTAACAATTATTTCTTTTATATTACTGACAGATGGAGGACCAAAGATAGAAGTTTATTTGTATTTTTTTTTCAATTTACAATGAGAGAGAGAGAGCTAAGTGAAATGGAAACTAAATTTTTTTTTAATATCAAATTTAATGATTGTATTTTCTTTCGCTTTTTTAACGCATGCGCGAATGATTCTTTGTTAGTTATAGTATTTTTCTTTCTTTCTTTCTTATTTATTATTTAACAATTTAATGGTATATATATACACCTAAGTTTTATTCGTTTTGTATAGTGGAGGATAATATTATCCGAGCATATTTTTTTTTCTTCTCTTTGAAATAGATAAGAAATGGTTCTTCCATTATCCTTTATAAACGATGAAAGAAAAATAAAGATAATTGAAGAGTATTCATCAAAACATGAAAGAAAAATAAGAAAATTTTAATTTTACTCAAAAAAAATAAATAATAAACTCATAATGGTAATATTCTTAAAAAAAAAATCAAACAATAACGGATTCTTTTTATTCCGAAATTTTTTTTTCCCTTAATCTCGTTGTGCCATTGTTCGCGATCAATGACATATATAATACCTAGACAGACGCATTCATTAAAAGTGTACATCAATGCAAATCAGCTGGAGACGCAATCTTGGTTACACTAATCATTATTAAAATTTTAAACGAGAGCCTAATTTTTTCCTACATCTGATGCAAACTTTATTAAAGAATTACCGGATCATCGAGATAATAAGGAAGCAAGTTATCAATTTAATAGTAGTTTTTAACATGAGATTAATTACTATATGTGTTACCAAAATGGCTGGTCAAGCTGATTTGCTTTTAATGACGCTTAAAAATGCATTTTAATGAATGAATCGTCAGTCTAGGTATTATATATGCCATTGTTCGCGATCGACATTCTTTTTGAAAGGTAGTAATAGGCTAGGAGATAGAAATGGGAAATGATTATCGAAAATTGGTAGATATTTTACATGGATCCATTATTTTTTTTAAAGTAATGAAAACTAGGGGATTCGGATATTCAAGCCTTTATTTATTTGGATGAATCGACGGTTAACCAACCGAAGTCGTCGGAAAAAAGTCGAATAAAAATGACGGTATTTTTTTTTTACAATTTTAAATTTTTTTTAAAAAAAAATCGACTAATTAAAATATTAGAATCTTTTTTAAAAAAATTGGGGATCAGTTAGCGATAAATCGAAAACCTACCGCCAATGAGATAAATGAAATAATTTTACCGCGCATACCTTATTTATTCTAGGAAAGATTTAGCAATTTCGCCCGTTCCGTAATAAAAGTTTAAAAAAAAAAAAATAGTTATCATTTCAATATGCCCTTATTTAAATTCTTAGTTTGTTTGTTTTTTTCCTGAAGAAGAAGACA